ATGGATATCTTGATGTATTGTTATTAAACTACCTAATACACTTTTTATCTATAAAGTTCTGTAAATTTAGAACATTTAAAAATATATTGGTAACAGAATGACCCATAAAACTTAATAACTGAGCAAGGCAAAAATAGTATGGTTATAGATTACTTATTTTCCTAATAAACATTAGTAGAAGGTTAGGTAATATTCAGAATTAATTAAACCATTAATAGACAAAATATATATTTTATTTTATGATAAAATAAAGAAATCAAAATTTAGAATATGGATATACTTATAACTTATAGTCTTAAACATTTGATAGACTTTTGGTTTCTTTTTATCACATTATAGTATGTTAAACTCAGACTTTATAACTTAATTACTATTCAACAAGTGTAATAATTTATAAAAATTAAATAATATTACAATCAAAAACAATAAATCCTTATTAAAAATATTTGCTTTTGAAAACAAATATGAGCAATTGAAAATAACAATATAGAGGCAAGTAAATAAACATTTTATAAGTTATGTATTATATCTTTTCTATTCAAATTTATATAAAAATTAAATAATATTAAAAACAAAAACAATAAATCCTTATAAAAAATTAGATTGAAATAACCAGTGGAAAATAAAAAATATATTAACAAGTGAATAAACATTTTAAAAGTAATGTATTATATCTTCTCTATTCAAATTTATAAAAAAATTAAATAATATTATAAATAAAAATAACCATCATAGTCAAATTGATCATTAGCATTTGAATTGTTTACTTTTATAGACTTATAAAAGTCAATAGCTTTGTTAGTTTTTAAATACTATATAATACTTTGAATATCTTTAAGTTTTTTACTTTTAATACCTAACTTATCAGTGTATATTGAAACTTCTGGTAATTTTATATCACTAGATTTTGTTGTTAGTTTTAAAAGTTTAAATTCATTACAGATTAACCCATCAATAGTTATATGAGTTTCCATTGTATTTGTGTCATTAGAAAATGCATAACATTTATATTCTGATATTTGAAATACAAGATTTCTTATGTTGGTACAAGTCACTCTTTTTTTAAAATATTTTTCTAACTCTGTTACATAATCCTTTACTAATAAACCAGGAAAATGGAAAACTGTAAACTTCCACTCAATCATCAATAGTTCACATCTTCTTTGTAACTTTTCAATTATTCCAAAATGTTTGTCACAGGGTAAGTAATTTTTTCTGGAAAGTAATGGGTTATAATGTCAAACTTGTTTTTTATTACAAGTGCTTGCCAGTATCTAATCATTATGATGTTTTGTTCTGCCCTTTATAATTGTCAGTGAAAATGAATAACTTTTTAACTGTTGATTTTAAAAATGAATTTATATAATGATTCAAAATACAGATATAACCTCATTTGCCCCACGTCTAGCTTCTATTTCAGGCCAACAATTCATAATGCTTTTACAAGTTTTGATATAGATATAAAAAATATCTGATATTTGCAAATGTGGTAAAGGCATATTTTGTTTGAAATCAAAGCAAAGCACATCAACTTCATCATTTTCTTTAGCTATTTTTGTCATTTCGTCCAGTTTCAAATACAATTTTTTAGCTTTTCTTTTATGGACTTTTAACTTAAGTATATGCTCTTTCTTCAGTACTGGTAAATTTTCCAACTCAATAAATGCTTCTAATTCACTACATGTCACACAAATGTCTTTTCTTGGAAGTCCAAACTTATAATTGTAATTGTTTTTAAAATGTCTTAAGAAAAAATGGTAACGTATATCACATTTCAAAGTTGTAGGCTGCTCTCCTTGTAATATCAAAGAAAAATCGGCTGGATATTATTTTTTTAAAAATGAAGTATACATTTTTATAATACTTAGATCTGCAGGCAAATACCTCATTCTTTCACCCTTGCACCCATAGTGACTAATTTTGAATGGGAAACTATTAATATGATTATCAATATTTTGAATAACTTCATTAGACTTTGAATTGGCTCTGTTTAAATGTTGATCTCTGTTGTCAAAAGGGGATTTTGCTTCAGTATTTAACAGTCTTAAACGCCTTACACGTTTCACACCTATACCATGTAAACTTGCAAACCCTTCTCTACAAACAACTTTCGAAAATTCTCCAATATTAATATACATTATAATAAAAGAAAAATCATATTATTAAACTATTTTAATTAGTAGTATTTGTACGGAAAAATTTGATTTAGTTTATTACTTCGTATGTGAAACAAAAATTCTTTTGACTTTTTGATCCTGCTTTACACTTTTAGGTTTAATGTGACCTTGTAAGTATGCATCTTGAGCCATTTTTTAAACCCAATAAATTAAAGTTTTCAATCAGTCTATTTTTTTCTAATTTGAAAATGAAATTGTAAAAATCATTATGAGGCTTTGTTAATTTTCCAAACAAAGAATTAGGATTATTGTTTGCAGGATAAGATTTGAAGAAAGATAGAAGAAATGAAGGATCTTAACTTTTTTGAAAGTGAGCATATTCTGTACAAACAGAGCAAACAAGATTTTCCAAACATTTTTTTCATTAAATAACCATAAATATATGTTAGACAGTTTTGGTCAGAGATATTTAAATTTCTATAGTCAACTGTACCAATTTTAATGGAATTCAAATTAAAAATATTTTGAGTTGGATTTATTAGGACTTGTGGGATATCAGAGGATGATTGAGGATTATTTATTTGGATTAGGATTTCATCAAGATCTTCAATACAATTAGCTCCAGGGGAATGTTTAAAGTAATCTAGACAAAACAATTTTTTTAAAAACATTAATAAATTGTATTGGAGTCGGGTTCATATTATTGCCATTTTGTGTTCGAATTGTTCTAAATAGATTTTCAAGACAATCCTGATTTACACGAAGAGTTTTAATTACATAATCTTTATTTTTTTTAGAATTTCAAGAATTCCACAGCATTTCTAGACCAGATATAGAAACTAACCAACCATTAATAAAGTTAACACGTCTAGTTACATCAGATTCATTGAATTTATGTATAACTTTGATATTATTTAATACTTCAGTCATTTTAATTAAGTGATCAGATTGTGGCGAAATGTTTTTAAAAGGGTCATTGAAAATTTGACTATTAGGAGTGCCTGATGAATTAAAAATATCAAACAATTTTGTTCATATCATGAATGAATTGAATTGTTTTTTTCGAAGTCTGAGGTAAAATACCACAATGTAAAGCTGTGGACATACCAGCAGTAACACTTGTACTAAATACCTGGGTAGCTAATCGTACTTTCATTTGTTCAAATGGTCCTGGATAAACATGCGAAGAGGTCAATTTTGGTGCCATGCGTAGATTACATTTAGAATCATAATCAAATGTGTTTAAATATTTTTTTCTACTAACTCATCATTAATTTTAAAATTATATTTAAAAAACATATTTCTGGTTGATTTCAATAGATGAGGAGGATCAAATATATAAACAATTTTTTCTTCATCAACTTCAAAATATGGCTCAATTGGAGAAACATTGTTGTTATTAGGAAATTGAATGCAATTTGAGCCTTGATCGGTAATAAATGCTTTTACAGTAATGTTGATATTTCTAAGTCTGCGTATTGTTGAAAAAATTATATCATTTAATTCCCTACTAGAACAGCTTTTTGAAATTAAATAATAAGAAATTGATTGTTTCCAACTATAGTTTAGACCTCTAATCATAAAAACAAGAGAATGATTAGCAGGTTCATATGTGACATTATTGTTTGTTTAATTTAAGCCAATTATTTTATCTTTTGACACATTGTAAAAAAAATGAGTTTTTATGGGCATTTCGTCTGCACAAAGAATGCATTCTAGTACCTCAGGAAGAAGTTAGTTTTAAAAGATAGAAAGTTGAACATACAATCATTAAAACCCGGTTTCAATTCATATTTTGCAATGATTGTTCTTAATGTACGAATAGAAGGAAGATTAAAATATTTTTGAAGCAATTTGATAATATTAGGTCCAAAAAAATGAAGAGTTAGAGTAAATTGTTTAATTTTGGTACTAAATGAAAATATACGTGGATCTTTATCCTTATAACATAAATAATTTTTTACCAACATAAATATTGTGGAAGATACTCTTCACATAGTTGAATACATTTTCCTATACTGCTTGTTTGCGCCAACAATTCACTTAAATGTGAAACTCTTTTTTCCAAATTTTTTATTGATCTATAAGCTTCACTAAGTTGCCTCTTGTATTTTAGTTTTCTTGGAGTTCTTTCCGAATTGTAATTTGGAGTTTGATTACCAACCGAAGTATCACATCCAGTTGATGATGTAGTAAAAGAATCTGATAAATAAAATTGGTATATAAATCAATCAAAAAAGAGTAATCAATTTTAATATGAAAATATTATTTTATACCAGGTGTTGAACATCATACTGGTATATCTTCTACAACACTAGATAATTCAACCACCGAATTTGTTGGTGAAGATGCCGTGTTCAAATTTTGTTCAACGACAGTATCTAAAATTATAGTATACATGATTAAATTTAAAAAACAATAATAAAACGTGTGAACACAAGCTATTTTTTGTCAGTTGACTATACCAAGAAATGTTACAGATATTATTTCATAAATTTAAATCTAGTAGGTACTAAATTAAATTCTGTGTTTTATTATAAAGATTAAGCTAAATATTAAGTATAATTCTGTTATTATCTGTCAGCCAAATTGTATAATAATAAATATTATTAAATTAATTTATGTTATAAATTATTTAATTATTAATTAATATTATTACTATTTTATTGTATTTATATTCTATTATTATTATTATTATCTTAAATATTGTTAACTCTATTTTTATATTGAAATTTATACTTACTGTACTATTATTACCAAAGGGTACCCACTCGTTTATAATATAAAATATAGAAATATACCTAATCGAGAATAGTAATACATTTAATAGTAATTTATAATAATTATTCTATAACTTACTTTCAAATAAAGTTGGTACTGCATGAGAATAAAGCCTATTTTTTTGAAAGTTGCTAAATATATTATCCTCAAAATGAAGTGAACACAACTTATATCTTTTTGCTAGATCACTAGTGTCTGAGGTTGGTATAGAAACAGGATTACATTTTTCAATCCACAGAGTTCATCATAAAAATCACAAATTAATACATTATTATAAAAGTGATGATTAAAATAAATATTTCTTACTTTATAGGATCTTTAGGAAAATTAAAAAACGATTTCTGATTTCCCACAGCATTCTTGTTGTACGCAAAATGGCAATTGGTACTCAAAGCTTGTATGTTCATTACATTCCTGTAATATTTCCAAATTACATATGTAATAGTAGGAATCCATGGTTTTACAAGAATCTATTAAAGATTATTACAAGACATTAATTTATTAAATTAAGAAAATAGTTTATAATGTAATTATTATGTAAAATAATAATTAAAAACAAAATATTTCTATCACTAATAACTTATAGGTATTCTTTTCGTATGCGATTTACCATGTATGTTTATATACAAATATGCAATGATGTATTGTAATATGTAGGTAAATTGGTGTATTAGAATATATTATGTCAATAGGTATGTACTAAAAACTAAAAGTTACGGTTCATTCTTTTCTTCTTTTTTTGTGAGTATAGAATTTAGTCTATGAGCCACAGTAAACACAAATAGTGTTAATTTCAATAAGTTCTCCTTTCTTTAAAGAAGCTATGGTAGTTTCATCCAATTGAAAAATTTAATAAAAATATTTGGCTAATATATAGTGAATGCATATAAGTATTTTAATTATAGAATAATATAAAATAAATAGGGACGTCATTTGGGGGGGGGGGAAGCAGGATGTGCACTTGCATACCCTGAATTTTTTTTTCATTTTCAATTATTGGCTATTGGCTTAGGCATCACTGATCTTGCCGCCTTGACCTTCAGTTTTCTAATCTTTAATATTGTGCATGCATCACGGCTAATAAGTAATAACTGCTTATCATGTTGGCCTGGTGGTGGGAAAAAATTGGTCTCTTTAATTGCTTGCATACCCTTACAAAAAACCGGAAATGGCACCCCTAATGGTAGACAAGTGTGCGGTAGGCCACATACGACAAGAACACCCTTTTATAACTTACTAGGTGCTTTTGTTCATCAGTCAAACTACTATTAGCATTTACAAAAAATCATTTCGAGGATCAATAATATTTAAAAAAGCTTATTTATTATGCAAGCTTATAACGAGCGCTTCCCCGCAGTAAGGCATTTGGCTGGCTTATCATAAAAGAACGTTATCATAGTTTTATAAATTCTTTACATTTGAGGAATATAAATTATATTATGTCCTAATGTATATGGTAGGTAGGTAGTAGAGCAAATGAATAGTTGTAATGGAGACTGGAGTTATTAAATATAATTACTTTATTATATATTAATTACTAGAAAAATGTAGTTATTTTTTTACAAGAATGGAATTAAAGGTCTTAACTCTTAATATAGTATATAACCTAATAATACCATATTTTATCATTTTGCTCTTCTCTTTGTAATTTTAGTTTTCTTTTGGCACATCCACTGAGAGGTGCCATTTTAAAATTAATTTAAATATTAAATACAAGTATAAAAAATAAAATGTATAAATACTATAAATTGTACAAATATTAACACAGGTGACGTTAGCATAAGTGCGGTGTGCGCTGAATGTGAATGTAATTGCCCAATCGGAGACCATAATATATTTCTATATGAATCAATATAATGACAATACCCTCGCTCAAAGTATTCTAAAAATAGACATACAAGTATACAGTAGTCACTGTCTAGATATGATAAGAACAACTTGACATTGTAGTATAGTACCGATATTTAGCTATAAATAGCAATTATTTCCTAATCGATCGTTTAAATTTAGATACAAGTTACATTATTTAGATTATTATTAAAACCCAATGTATTTGGTTTTATTTGCGTCATATTTAAGCAATATGAAAAATTTGGTAAAAATTAAAAGCAATCATATAATAATGAGCCTTCTCAATACTTTAGGTGGGCCGGCCTAAGGCCGGACACATATTAGGGTGGGCCAGGCACACCCTGGCCCTCATTTAGCTACGTGTCTACCTACCTATCATATACATTAGGACATAATATAATTTATATTCATCAAATGTAAAGAATTTATAAAACTATACATTATAATATACCTAATAATGTATTAATATATACCTTTTAAATTAAAAGAGATCTTCTAGCTCCTACATTTTACAATTTGAAGTTATGATAACGTTTTTTTATGATAAACCAGCCAAATGCCTTACTGCGGGGAAGCGCTCGTAGCTTATAAAGTAATCTAATATGTTATTAGCAATTATTTAAGAAAATAGAAATGTAATAAAAATGTTGTTTCAGATTTAGATAGATAGAATAGTAGTATCTACACTAGTAGGTCTCTAGACATAAATATGTAATATGTATGCAGTATGCCTAAAAACAATTCATAAAGAGGTTTTTTTCACTTAAATTTTAAATTGTCACTGATTTATTAGCAAACTTTTCATTTAAAAATACAGTTGAATTAATAATAACTAATAATTATACTGTATAATATTAAATTATTTTAACCAATTTATAAAAAAATATTACGTACTTGATTTTGATCAAAACCAATAGGTGCTAATTCAGATGATCGAGAAACAATTTCACTATTATTATCATTAACAGTAGTGTCGACTCTAAAAAAATAACTAGTGATTTGTGTAAAACGTTTTTATGAAGTATTTGAATGCAACTACACTTGGAAAATATTTTATAAAACGTTAACTAAAAAAAACTAAAGATTTTAAGACATCGGGTCTTCGTAGTCCGTGGACCTGTAAATACAAAATTGTGACTGATATCAGTGATATCAGTTTGATCAGTAAAACTCTTATCAATAATCACAATGCACTGTGGCACTATCAATAAACCTAGGGCATTTTACTATAAAATTACTGTATTAAATTGAGTATTTATTTAGAAAAAAAAATGGTACATTTTAAAAAAATGTTTATATATAAAAATATTATATATTTGTATATTCTAAAACTTTTATATTTTCCACTTTGTTAAAAGGAGGGTTCAAACCCCCTAACCCCTTCCTCTCCGTAGCTACGGCGCTAAAATTTAACTGTGAATTATTGTACAAATTCTGTCTAGTAGAATAGGTATTTAAAATTTTATAAAGAGTAAAAGTTCGTAGTGAATATTTTGTGGAGACTTAAGTTATTTAACTTAAACTCTATATAACGGACAAGAACAAATTTTTTACTGGAAAATTAATTATAATTAATACATTTCCACAGCTTGTATAATACTCGTATATCTTATCGGTTTTGTGGTAGTTTATTTAATGCTAAATTTTTTCTTGCCGCAGTTTACAAATCGACTTTTAGAAAAAGATTAGTTTTTCCGCAGTTTACATACAACCTAATTATCATAGTTAAATTGAAATAAAAGTACTTAAAAATGTTATTTATGTAAATTATATGTAGGTATAACAAAATGTTTTTTTTTTTTAATGTGATAGGTATTAGTGTGTAAAATACGTTAAAATAGGATTATTTTTTTTACAGAAAAATTAGTAATTTAATTATATAGTTAAGTTATTTTTAATTTAAAGTCTTATAATTTATAACCAATTAATTGTATATGAAATAGAAAACCAAGTTATATTAATAAATTAGGTATAGAAAAAGTACACATCAAAATAAGCAAAACTAAAAGTATATTACCTGAATTTTCAGTATATATTATCTTACTTTATTTTAGATCTTATTTTGTTAACGTATTAATGTATTGTTATGTTACACATTTTAAGGGTCTGGTTCTTATAGCATTATTTATATGCGCTATATTTATTTTAACCTTAAATTGAGTTTTATTTAATACATGTTTTTGATTAAAGTGAGAAAAAAACACAAAAATCTATAAATATGTAACATACATTTTAAATAATTTAAACTCATTGTATAAATCATAAGGACGTAGTGGATTACTGTGCCATTTTCTCATGTTCTATACTAATATATGAATCCTATAAAATCCGAGCCCTGTTTTTTTATTTCAATTTTTGGCTACATTCCTTTAATCACTAAAATATATTAAAATTTACAAAATTACTCTCCAATCCATCAGTAAATTCTACTATATTTTTAATTGGTTTAGTAAATGTGGTAAATTTTGTGAAAAAAAAAAAATAATAAATTGATTAATGTTAGAAATCCAATATTTTTTTACCCTTTGACTATTACACTAAACATCATTGACATTATTGTTTGATTCAGGGGAGGGGTTTTCAAAAAAATGATATCAAGTAAAAAATAAAAAATTTTAATAATGTGCACAATGTGCACTGCATATATAAGAGAAATCGTGAGCCAAAACCCTAGGGACCCTTCCAACTGACATAGTTGTAACTTCTTTTTTCTCAAAATAAAAAAAAAAACCATGAAAATAATATAAATATTGTGGAAAATTTAATTTTAATCTTGCTTACTTTTCTAAACAATAATTATAACAATGTCAAGGTCACAATTTGTATAAAATGTGTTGTTTTATTTTTTCATTTTGTTCTTTTTTTTTTTTTTAATATTCCTACTATTTATAGTACAGTGGAATATTCTGATGTCCTTAGGATGTTATATGAAAGTGGTAGGAATACAATGAGAATTTATTGGTTACACCTTGAAAAGTTCCTTGAAAGAAATCAATCATCATAATCAACATATTCTAATGTAGAACAAATATTATACCAAACAGGTAGTTTTAAAAATTTAATAAAAAAAAAAAAAAAAATTAAATATTATTAATATTTAATACTATTTTATTAAAATTTTTTACAAAATATAACAAACACAATTATTATTTTTTATTTTTTTATTATTGTTTACTTGAGAATAACTAAATTTAAGAAACAAATATAATAATATTGGTAAATATTCATATATTAATATTAATAAAAGCTTACGTAAAAAAAAAAAATTAAACTATAAAAAAAAAAATTAAAAAAAAAAATAACATTGCACTATTTAATAATGTTCTATTCATTATTCAATAATTACATGCATATTTTTGGTTTGAAAGTACAAAAAAATGTTAGGCGTAAACATTTAAAGATACACAAGTATATACATTATTTTATTTTTATACTTTTCTCAATTATTGCTTCAAGCGTAATAATAATGAACTAATATTTTATCTGGGTTTTCGACTTATTATATGATTAAATGTGCCTATATTAAACACCTTGGAAACGATCGTAGCTATTCTAATTTGACCGATTGAATATATTTATTTTAAATGCACAGTTTAATTATTCAATTAAACCATATGTTATACTAATATTTGTATTATTTTTTCGTTATCGTAAACATTTTAAAATAATAAACAGAACGAAAGTTATTCCATTTGTCGAATCATCGTGGATACCCTGTATTATACGCAATGCATCAGTAAAAATGATAAAAGTGAATTGTTGGTTAATTAAATGAATATTTATTTTTGAATTGGTAGTTGTGTAAAAATTAAAAGGCTGAATAATAATTTCCCTTATTACATCTTGGTTGGTAATCTGTAATAAATATGATTTTTAATTTTTATCGTGTATATATTGGGTAGGTATGTAAAAACATATTATTAAGTTATGAAAGTAATTTCTAACAAAATTTCAACTTCACTATATAAAATGTACTCTCTTAAAATCAAAAATTATATCATAAATAAATGCCTTATGAGTCAGCAAAAGTGATTATGCAATATCAAGTTGATAAATTGATGAAAAATGAGGAAACAATGAATAAAAATGAATAATTACAAAAATACAAATTATATTTGTACCTTAAGATTATGCGATATGATCATGGTAAGCACAAATTTTAATAAATACAGAATACTTTAAATAAACTTAATGAATAGGAAATAGTTTTCTAAAATGTTTACAACATATTGATAAAATTATTGAAAATTGGATCATAAACTAAATTCATACATTTTTGTAGTATGAGTAGTATTAGGTATTTTAAGTCTTAAATATTGAATCAAAAAAGTAAATATTCAAATACTGATTTTCATTTTCATGTAAAACGATATGAAATAGTATCAGCAAAGTGTAATCGCCAAATAAAAATGCTATTAATATTTTAGAACAATAATTATTAAATAGAAACTTATTGAGGCAAAATTTCGGTTTGGACAGACGATTGATTTAGAGTGAAAGCTGGAAATGCCATGTCCGTATACTGTTTTCAATAATCCAGTCATTGCCGCTAGTAATTAATAAAAAATAAAAATAAAATCGTTTTGGCTGGTAAATTCCATTAACCTAACGGGCCATTTGGACGTATGGTTTATATGCACGAGTAAAATTTTAATAATCAAATTTCTACAAACTACAAATAGAAAAAAAATTTGATTTGATGACACAATATATCAGTACATCGTACATTTGTATTCATTTTACATTAATAAAAATGACAAATACTTTGTTGGTTTTCTATGAAAAACCAGTGAATGATTATTTTCATTAGTTTTGAGCGAAATATGGAACATCTTGGATTTACAAAATAGTTATTAATCAAGTAGATAAGTAATACTTATCTACTTGATTAATAATACTTAATAAGTTTTATTTTATTTTTACTTTCCTTTAAAATATTAAGAAAAAATTCTTAAGTATTTTAGTATCTTTTAAAAAATACGTAAGAATTATTATTAGGTTATTCTGTCATATTTAGCATTTAAGTAATTTACTTTAAAACACTATGAATATGTATATACAAAATGTACTTAATAGACAACATGTGATGGAAAAAAGTATATTATATAAAAGTTTAAATTCAAAAATATATAAAATAATGAAGTATTAATAATTATTATGTAAATATCTTTGGCAAACATGTTTGGTGTTAGAAGTTCAATAAATACTTAGCAAATAGGTACTAATGTATTTTAGGAACATTGAATATTTGGCATCTCATAATTTTTCAGTTTCTAATGATCATAATATCTATATTTATAACGTTTGTATATGTAAGATATATTTTTAGATTTGTCTCTTATTTAAATATAGTATAGTTGGTATTAACCATTTTGAAAATGTTATAATTTATTTACGATTTAATAGTATTAGTACAGAGTTTAAGAAGATGTCAAACCTGCATGTGTTATTATTGCCTTATAAACGTATCTTACGTAACTGTGAAAAGTAGAAAACATTTTGAGTCGTTAGCTTTAATATGAGAGAAAAATGTCCTATTATCAGATTTAAGAAAAAGAATGATGTCATAGATTTTTACTAGAGTTCTTAATAAACGTGTCACATGAAACATCTATGTGTTTATTCATAATTTGTGTCCGTTTTTTAATGATAAAATTAGTAATTTTGCGTTAAGTACACTTGAAGTTTTTATAAAATATTATTTGTACAGAATTAAAATTAAGTTGATATTTTGAATTTGACTCGTGAATTAAGATCTATATTTTTAAGGTTATTTTAATTCTTAAAAGAATTTTATTTTTGTAAAACATTACAATTAAAGAAAAGCTCATAACTCGTTTAAAAATTAAAATATTTTAGAAATCCTATAACACCGCGTAGATAATATTCTTTCATTCGAATTTTATAATAGGTTACTTTACTCTAATATTGAAGTTAACAATAGAAAATTGTTTCTACTAAACGCAGATTAGTTTTGTTGTACGTATGTAAGACGCAGATAACATATACTGATGTGGTGTCCTCTTATACGAAGCTGTATAAATATTTCAGCAGAGGAAATAATACAAATACACAGGTGTTAGGTCATAATGACATAATGTCGTACTGATTTGATCCTATGCGTGCATCAACAGTGTGGCGTTTAGTATCGGGTGGTAAAAAAGGTCGACAGCCATCAATAGTCAACGGTTAATAAACAGTTCGTCGAAAAATACTGCAATTGATCCATATTGTGTATATGAAATAGTCTTAATGATAAAATGTGATCGCTGGTTATACATATAAAGTAGTGATCATCAAAATATTCTTCGACAGCATTATGGTAAAGAAGAAAATAACCCAAACCAACAAAACGAAATATGAGAATACAAATGTAACAAAGTGGAACTGAGGAATCAAATCTAGCATAAAAAGATTACAATTTACGAGGTACTTGTCTATTTTCGAATTTTGATTCTTGACTTCTAATCGAAGTTTTAGTATCGATCACTGGATGTATTGCAGACGACAGACAATTGTGCTTAGAATACCCGATTACTTCTTCAATATCTTCTTTCCTATATAATAACAAAAAAGCGTGTACAAATCAATTACAAATAAATAATTAATTTGATTATCGACTAAATGTTTAGAAATATATAACTATAGTTTATACGGAAGACCAGAACAAGCACTAAATTTTAAAGGCCTGGTCAGAGTACAAATAATAACTTGATAAACGAAGAACATTTTTTTTTTTTTTTACAATGAATGTATCCCGTTTTGGATATTTAAAATATTATGGAACTAGGAAAACTATTCGTTACAACCAATGAGGTAGTGGTATTTCTAGATCCTTTTATAGGGAGGGGACGAACTTCATGTACCTATGTCTTCACATTTTTGTAATTTCTTATTATGATATAATTAAGAAATAACAAAAATTTAAAAAAAAAAGCCCATGAAGAGTCTGCTCCATTTACCCCGCCCGTGTGGATGCACCTTCAGTAAGGCACAAACAACGAAATAAATTATATTAAAACTGTGAGTACAACTGCACTCATCTTAACTTTGAAATGGTAACATTAAATTAAAAATAATAATAATAATAGAAAATAATCTAAGAGAGCTTCAAGTATAAAAAGCTTAATATTCAGGGGAGATCTAAACTTGGTAGTTATTATTTACTATGTTATGTTACTTGTTCCCGTGTCAGCTCAGCATAGAACTTATTTGTATATGTGCCTCACCAAAGAACAAAAAATATTGTAAACAAAGAAGTATTATAACCATAATAAAAATATGTTCAGAGATATTATATAAATTAAAGAGATATAATAAGACATTAAAGAAAATAATAGTTTTTTCAATCTAATTTTTTTTATAAAATAGTCGAATACCTCTCGGGCGAAGATAGGTAATTCAGCTAATATTTTTATATAATTGCATAAAAAAAATATTTTAATTGTGTTCAGATTCATAAAATTAATTCTTTAAATGTTTATATATTTATTTTCAACAATCTATAAAATCTGCATCCATCATAATGTCTCTGGTTCTACTCTAGTTAAAGTTATTTCAAGGACTAATAATTAGTAATAGACAATTATTGTTGATGCCAAGGTCCATTGATAGCCCTACGTTCAGATAACTTAAGTAAGACATCAAATAGATCACATTTACACAGAAAATACATAAAGATGTTCTCGTTGTTCTTAATTATAATATACAATTATAACCAACGGTAAAATAATGTATTTTAAACGAAATGAATTGTGAAAAATTAAATTACCTGGCACGCGAGAGAAATAAGTTGAACAACTTGTGCGGCAAACAGTTTGATGTACTCTCGTGGGCTGTGTACATTACTGTATCGTAATTGTATTTCAGTAAAAAACTTTCCAGCAGTTGAAATATTTCCATGGATTTTTTATCCGTCGACAACGTAGACTTGGGAATCTAAAAATATGGTGTTATGCATAAATTCAGAATTATATGCGTACACTTATACACCGTACATGCATATTTCGTAACTATTTATATTTATATTTATTTTATTTAATATAAAATCTGAACTACTGCGAGGATTGGAAATTTATGTTCAAAAGTATAGTACAAATTATATGCACCAAGTGTTTTAGGAATTAATAAATATCATTGTTTCGGGAAGAATATAAAATATATTTTTGAAATAATAGTACATATTTTAATTGTGAACCTAAGTAAGGAGTAAGTTAGTTACGAAGAAATGATAATGAAGTTAAATTATCAACATTGTGGTACATGCATTAATGGTGAATTAGTCAAATATATTTTTATGGTTAACTGAAGTTAATTTAAAATTCTAAGATGAAAGATAAAATTCAGTACTTAAACTGTTAGTTTGGTGTTATTATAGTATAATTAAGTTATAGAATGTATGGTCTTGATTTTTATTGAAAATCAGAAAATTTGATACGTATTATCATTGATTATAAATATTATTATTATAAATGACCAATGAATTGACGTGGTAAGCAGAATGTAGGTGGAGTTCACGTACCCATCGACGGTGGTAATACAAAAGTAAAAACGAGACAGTATTGTTTATAGTTATATAACATCACTTTCATAGACATGCACAAAATCCTGTTTCCGGTGTGGCTTTTATTTTTTTTTTGATCACTCATCCCATTATAAAACCCCGCCTAAAAAAAAATTGATATACAGTACATAAGTAAGTAGAAATAAAATTTATTAGAAAAACTGATGTACAATTTGATTATCAATGAACCGGAAATTTTTATTTTTTTGTAATTTGATAAAATTGATAAAAAAAAACTTTTGATTTTCCAAAAAAAAGAGTTATTAGCTCTTCTTACCTATGTACCTAGTACCTATTTAAAAAAAAGTCTCAGGTGTGGCTATAGCCCTATAAGCCACACCTGTACGCACACCTATGTTCACTTTATTAAAATTTTAATAGGTATTTCGCTTTTGTGTTACCATAGTCGACGAGTACGCGAACATCGCTTCCTACTTAAGTAGAAAATAAAAGAACAAAAAGAGGAAAACAAAAAACAAGGTGTCCAAGAAGTTACGAACGTAAAACAAAACATTTAATCAAGTGTGATAATTGGTTTACACGAACTATATGGCAACGCATAACACGTTACGATTGTTTACAAATTTGTAGTTTTTTTTATCGATTAGTATGTTTATTAGGATATTTTGCAAAAATTAAGAAAATGTTTGTATTAGGTATGGAAATGTGATGTACCGATGCGCTTTTATTTACTTATTTCATTAAGTGCATACCTACATATATGATTATTTTATTATTATAGTAATAACAGTACAAATGGTGACTAATATGGTGCAGTACAAAATTGCATATCTACTTATAATTACTTATTGTTTATAAGTCATAGAGGGAATTACCGAGATTTATTAATTTTATAGACGTTTTTATTACTCTTTTAAACTCGGTTCGCTTTGGCACATTTTACATGTACGATCATTTTACGCAGGTAATGTTAATTTTATCCACAATAAACACTAAAATAATGGGCCCAGTAACGACTTCGTCGTTCATTCTTAGTAGTCGTATTCTTTTAATACACATCAGTAAGCAAATCTGATAAATCATCGCATTGAAAAAACGATTTTAAGTGAAACCGTGAAGGTCGACGTAATTACAGTTCGCAATAAGTCGCTAAGGTTTCTAAATGCATAGTGGCAAGACAAAATTTTCATGCCTTTTGGTTATTCATAACAGGGAGGACGTTATGATTGAATAATTTACTTGGTAGTCATCTTCGTTGCCCTCACAGCAGTTACGCAATAACGTTTCATGTATATTATGTGAATCGAGAATCTTAAGTAATAATAAATTATATCTCACATTATATATATGACGTAAAAAGGAAATTGTATGTGCTTATACTGAATTTATGTTTCTAAATGTAAAATTGGGAACCAATATTATCAAAGAAGTATACTTATGAAGGTCATATGACATATAAATAAGCAAAATTATTATCACGGTTCGTTAAAATAATCAGGTTTGATGTGTTTTCAATGTCTGGTTTTTTTTAGCATAAGATAAAATAACTTATTTTTTTATCTTTGATCTAATTGATAAACTGTAAAACGAAAACAATCAATATTCTATCAAAACAAATATAAATATTTAACAGGCAAAGTGTATCATAATTTTATATTTAGCAAAAATGATTTAAGATAATTTAATTTTTGGAATAAAAAAAAATCAATTAAAAAATCAATTAAATTTCTAGCCTGAAATACAGTTATGTATGGTAAAATAATTAAGTGAGCTTTTAATGACTAATGATGGTTTTTTTTTTTTTAAATCGAAACTTGTATATTTTTGCTCACATAATATAATAATACTTCAAGCAAGAAATTTAAATGATTTTTTAATTTTTTTATTTATGTTGACAACTTTTATAAAGTTATAATTAAAAATATTTAATAACCCTCAGTAAATGATTTATTAAAATGTATTTTAATATAATATATATTGTGTTATGATTTATTATAATAAATAATAACAAACGTAATAATGTATAGTTATTCTGAAACTTAATAATTAACTTATAATTTAAAGAATACTTATTATATTTTATATATAAAAAAATAACTAACCTCAATTTCTAAAGGAATACTGAGATTTTTTGAAGCTTTTACCAAAAACATCAGTACTAGATCACTAGATGGATTGACATAATGTTTCTCCAAAGCACATTTTTTTAATAATGCAGAAATATAAGTCAAGTACAGAGCAAATGTTTGTCGAGCCTGAAGATCACTGAAATGCAAGCAAATATAGATGAAAAGAAAGGAAAAGTTATAAGATAAAAGTTTTAGTATTACATTGTTCAAAATATATACACAGATTGATTTGTTTAAAAGAAAAAATATTATATCTATTATTTATTAATTATAGATTTTGAGTGAAATTATGAATGTATTGTATTTTATTACGATATGTTTTATTTGCGTCTGTGTATATGGTTTGAACTGAAATTATTAGTTCGATCAGCATAATCAAAAGATAATTGATAGAAAAATGTATTATACTTTAAAAAGTGTAATTTTACACATTTTCCAGCAGTTTTTCAAATAATTGCGAAAAACTGTCTAAAAGTTATAAAAAAAAAAAACGGTGACATTTGAAGCAGGTCTTCGATAAAATTAAATTTTTGTTTATATTGTTACTCAAAAAATTAGGACTGTAGAGACTTAAAATTTTTACTGCACTATCACCATTTTCTATTTTTTTTTCTCGTGTCAGGAATTATATTTTTAAAATTAAATAAACATGTAATTTCTAAACAAAACAAAACTAAATAAATATTATCAAGTAAGTAAAAACTAAAACTAAGTAAAATATGAATAATAATAGGTAACACACCATTTTCTATGAATGTTATATATAATAATATTAATTATAATTTAAAAAGAAAATTGATATTTTGAGTTATTTATAAAAAATTCATATTTTAATGAATTTTTTTGAAAATGTCGATTAAATAAATTAGGTTTGACAAAAAATCTTGAAAATTTAATATATATTTCCTTGTACTAAGCTATTACTGATAAATGAAAAAATAAATTGAGCTTATTATCAAAAATGAAATTTACAATCGTTTAAATATTACATTTTGACAAAACGATAACATTTATAAGAATCCACTACATTATTGTAATTAAATATTCATACAAATTTAAATTTTATTTATTTTTACTTAAGGTTTAAAAATTGGAAACACGATTTTCCAAATGACTTTCTTTGTTGCAGAAAATAAAATAAAAATTACTGAAAATTCGTAAAAATAATTTATAGGCGTTATTATAATTAAATTTTTACGAAGTCGGATGTTCCAAAAAATTAAAATTATACGATATTATTTATTTTTATAACTATAGTTTATAAATACTTTAAATTTTCAATATTTTGCATTTTTTTTTTTGGAAATTAAAAAATTAAAGGTTCAATCTACTTGAAAAATTTGGTTTTTTAACTACATCATTCATATTTAGAAATATAAGCTGATCCACCTCACTTTTTTCACTCAGAATCGTTTTTCCAAGAACAGTGGAATTTTGGTTTCAAGTTTAAAAGATTAATGGAGCAATACCATTCACCCATCCACGTATTTCAACCGATATAGGGATTTCATACTTTATAGAAATTTAAAATTGTAAAATTTTTCATATTTGAACATAATTTGTCTATAAAATATATTATATTATTACATGGATTGTAAATATTTATAAATGTATACATTTAAATTTTTAAAATATGAAACGATTATAAATTGTTTTGAATTCCAAAAAAAAAAAAAAATTACAATAATTTATAAATGGTATAAATTGTATTTATTTACATCATACTATGTTGAATATATCACTCTGTATATCACGAAATTAAAGCAATATTGTTAATATAACGTATAATAGTTTAGTCGTTTAGGGTTTTAAATAGATATCGGCAATGTGTAATATTATACCTGAATGTATAACCATCCCTCAAGCATTTTGATATTGCTCTTTTTACCTTTGATATATCGGCTGTATCATCTATATCATTATAATCTGAAATGTTTAATAATATATATAATATGTATAGTTAAGGTTGACGGTATTTTCGGTATACCATAAATACCGTGTAAGCGGGATACGGACGGTTAAAAAAAAATCCATTTTTTAACTAGTTACTTGTAAAACTAGTTGTTTATTAGCGAAACGATATTAAAGTTAAATATATTGGTACTTGGTAGATTTTATTTATCGTTTTGAGTTTTTAGTATCCCGAATCATTACGGTTTTTCGGTATACCAAATAATTTTGGTTTTCGGTATATCGTTACAAACGGGTATTGAAATCAAAACCGTTGTACCGAAAATTATTTTCAATACCGTCAGCCCTATGTATAATATATAGTATATATTATATATTATTGAAAATAGATCAATAATATATAATTATAAATTGTATAACCATTTAAATTCCGCTGAGAATCTTTCAAAGACCGTTCATAACGATCCTGTCGACTGATATCCATATAAAATGAGGAATTGTCACTGAATAAATGGTCGTTTAAAAAATAATTGTAATTTCTTATTAGCTTCACATAGAACGGCGGTATGGTGGATCCCCTAGGTATGCCATTGATATTGTCTGTAAGCATTGCAATACATTTGTATATCAATTGTTATTTTACTTAAAATAAATTAATAAATACCTTACCCAAGTAAGAGGAGTATTTTTTCCACGATACGTCAGTAGGGAAAATCCGTATAAACCCTCTGCTTCTCAGATTTTGATCTGTTGTGTTTTTTAATAAACGTTTTTCATCATTGCTAAGATTGTTTATATTGACATTTGTGTTTCTCTTCCTTGGTATATCAGATTTTGGCCTCCGAACACTTCTAAAAATATATTGGTAACAACAATAATTGATCAGTATTATTAAAATACTTGGGCTACAGCTAAATATTACTTGTTAAAATTGAAGACCGTTGGGTCAACAATTGGGATACCAATCAAAGTAAATAAATCACATAGCATTGAACTTTTAATGCGAGAATCAAGTGCCGAGTCTATCCCCAATGACGGCGATAGGTTTACCTCAAGCAGCCAAGGCTTTAACTTATTGTCCACCAAAATATCAAACCCATACAGTTCTATAAAAATATGAAACAACTATTGTGTGATCAATATAAAAATAATTTAATAAGTTGTTAAGTTGTTACGTTGAGTAATAAATCTTGTCACTCAGTAAATTTAGAAATCAATTAACGATTGTGTATTAATTAAAATATTATATGAAATTAGTATATGGTTTCCAAACGTTTCACTGTGCATGACGGGTATTTAAGTAAAAGTATATAATATAATCAATAGTCAAATATCGTCAGGATCTCGAGGATAATAAATTAGCGCAAAATCCACTAAACGTCATGGATGTTTTACTTTATGTATGACACGGTGAATTCTTTATAGTATATATTATTTATTTACATTTTTTTTGTTTTTTGTTTTTCAATCATTATTATTTTTTTATTGATTAATAATTTATTACCCATAATATCTGTATAGTATGGTGTAATTTACTGTCTAATGTACGTTAATCAGTGAATAAATATAGAAAAAATGATGTGGTTGGTGCGAGGACACACACTGGTAAAGCAAAATGATTGGTTTAAAGCGACTGAACTTGTTTTATTGTGATGCATGAAAAATAAAATATTCATATTTTCATCTTTAGTGATAATTCATATTGTTTTAGGGAAATAGAACATGCTCTATTTGAATTAGTTTTTATATAGAACGATTGTTGAATCATTACATTAACATTTATTGATTTCCAATTTCATAATTTTTTTTTATGTAAAATTGGGTAAAATATATTTTTCTGAAACTAGTATTAGATTTTTGAATTTTATCGTTAAATATTCGTAGAATGCCATCAAAAATATATTTGTATTCATAACTGTGAAATGTCTAAACTTACATTCGTTATTTAGAAGATCACGAATAGAACATTAATTAATTGTATTATTTTTAGTTCGTTTCATATTCGAAAGATAAATTGAAAAACAATTTTTTTTGTTTTCTTCCTATTCAATATTGATCATAAAACATATAGTAAATATAAAAATTATAGAATTAGAGTCCTCATTGAATAACTAACGGTGATATTGATTGTTTACGTTTTATCTAGTGTGCAATTATGATGCTTTATTTTGACTAAAAGCATAATTACTGAAAAACATGACTTAAATTTCTTCAATTAGTTTTGCAATACCGATACGGGATCACTCTATAACACGGCACTCCTACATGAACGTAAGATATTGCCTATATTCAACTCCTGAAAAATGGTCCACTCTAAATAATTCCGTTTAATTGTCTTTTCGGTTCATTTCAGTTCCGATTTCAGAAAGTTTATGAACTGTATACTATGCAGTTTATAATACAATATATAATACAGTGTATAATATAAACATTTTTTATTATAACAGTTTGGACTAAATTAGCCAATAAAGTAATCATAAATTATTTTACGTATAAATAATTACCGAAACAATTTTGATTATGAGGTACAAAGCAATTGATTGCTGGTAACATTTGAGCAGTTGCGCTCATAATTGTTTTTATTACAATGTCTTCGATTTCCCTCATCAAAGTTTCAGTATTGATAAGATACTCTTTTCTTAGATGATTTAAAAGAGCACTCATGGACCATTTATGGCCAACGTTTTCTCGTTCAGGATCTGAATTTCTAAACCATAATTTACAACATTATATTAAAATATAATCTGATAAATAAGTCATAATGTTAAAATGTATAGTTAATAAATAATAATATAGACCAAAATAATATAACTAACTGATTTTACTGAAAAAACAAATTTTTTCAAAATTTATAAAAATCAAATTTTATATTAATTTTTTTAACTCGTTAAGTTAAAAATTAATGGATAAAGAAATTAACATAGTTAAAATAAATTATTTTAACTTTGTATCATATTAAGCATTTATGTGCAATAACCATACTACATATGGCAATACAAACTTACCTACTAAATGGCTAAATAATAATCATCAGTATCAAATTAAAACAAGGGCGTATTTGAGTTGAGGCTATAGGAGGAGAGTGAAACTAATTTTTCTTTAATACAAACTTAAAAATAATTTACAGTTCATTACCTACAGCTCATGTTCCTGTTATAATGATAACATATTATAATGACTAGTAATTTATATTCTTTATTATTTATACATTACATTTTTTAAATACAAATGGTATTCTATTAATGTAATTCTTTAATATATGATATATATATATATTTTATATTTATACTATAAATATATATATATCCATAATTAATCTATTTATATACTCTCACTGATTTTTTTGAAAACAATATAAGAAAATATCGATTACCTACATATTATAATAATATTTTTCAGATAAAAAAAAATATTTGAAAAATTGCTTTATATAAAAATTGAACTTAATTTTTTATTTCTATATAAAATTAACTTGAAATTAACACGTTATATATATTAAAAAAGTAACTTATTAAAATAAAAGTTAGTTCGAAAATACAGTTTATAATAACTTAGTTAATATTAACTTAACGTTTTTCATCTTTAACTCGTTAGTACTTAGCCTCAAATATTAGTGTTCGTGCGAGCGATAAATAGTAAAATGATGCTTACAAAATGATTTACCAAAAAAAAAAAAAAAAAAACGAAACATAAAAATATAATTTCTTTACGTACCTAATATAGCTAGGACTGCTTTTGTTGACACTATAGTTGCACAGATGCATCCGTCGATTATTAATTCTACTTCTATCACAAACGTATTTTACAGTAGCAAACCTAACCAAACCTTCTTCGTACAGATACACAACAAGTGGATTGAACGATGTAACCAGTACATACAAACGTAGATCCCATTTGAACCCGTTGACTAATAAAGGGTTATCAATGTACTTGGCAACAACAACGTTTTCTTTTAACGACGATTGGGTGTCCTTGAACGACTACGTAAATTGTAACATTGTTAGGAAGTTATATTTATTAAATTTAGTGACAAAGAAGTGTAAGTTACATAGTCCATAATTGTGATTCCTCTTCCTCGGGATAAGTCGAAAGGTTTTATTATCCATAAGCCTCGATGCCGGTATTGATTCGAAATAAATCGGTTGTAGTCTTTGGGCATAATATACGTTTCGGGAACAAAAGAGAAGTTTTTAATTCCATTACGATGGCTCATAATTTCGATATTTTTGTATAGCTTATCTTTGCGCGTTAATTCGCATGATCTAATGAAAAAACAATTTTAAAACATATTAAGGCCATTGTAATAATTCTATGATGTTGTTTTTGAACTTAATTAAGACTGTATTTTCGTTTTCTTTAGTTGTATATGTATTTAAAAATGGGAGCGCATAGAAAATCCGAAAATATTGTGTCCGAACCGCATATCAGAAGAAAAATATTTTAGCCGAAAAACATTTCAACCGGCAGTATTTTACCCGACAAATAATTTGGACAATATTATAACCGACAGTATTTTAGCCGACAAATAATTTGGCCGATAATATTATAGCCGACAGTATTTTAGACAATTATTTTATCGGTCATGTATCACCTAGATCTCGGGTCTATTAGATCCCTATGGTTATTTATAATACCCCCTGTGGGATAAACTGTTCCCCTGTCATTTAAATCCCCTTGGGCCATCAATAGATTTAGATCTTATAGATCTACATTGTAATAATTACGGTTCTCTTAGTTATTTCCCCCCTAAAGATCTAGTTGATCTCAAAATTAGTGATCTAATCTATTCTTTTAAATACTCGATGATGAATGTGTAAATATACAACATTTTGTGATATTTTGATAAATTATAGATTTTGTAATACATTACATATTTTTTCTGGAAATTGCTATTTTGACATGATTGTTAGTCGTTAAAGTTATTTTCGTCTAAAATATTTGTCGGCTAAAATACGGTTCGGCCATAATATTTGTTGAATGAAATATTGTCGGTTAAGTTATTTTCAGATCAAATACTGTCGTCCAAGATATTATTCGGCTGAAATAATTTCTGGTAAAATATTTTCGGGCAAAATATTATTCGGTCTAAATATTTGTCGGCTAAAATACTGTCAGCTGGAATATTTTCGGCTGAAATACTGTCAACAAAATTATTTTCGGAATTTTTATAGCCCTTTTTTAAAAATGTTTACATGCGGACGACTTAAACGAAAAAAAAATTGATTTGCTTGCCAAACATCGAAACACCGAATCATAAAGCGTAACGAAAAGTTTAAAATAATTTATCAAGTGTATAAATAATAATAATAAATAGGCTAATATTAGCCCAAGAAGTTGAAACCTATTAGAGGAATATAGCATATGATAGAGAGGAATAGGAGAAGACAGTTTTGGCGGTAAAATTTCACAACTGAACGTAAAACCGGATAAAAGAATAAAAACGTATGAATAATACCTAAATCGAATTAAATATAAAATTAATTATATTAACTAAACTTATATTAATATAAGAGATCAATTTTACTTGAATATTGCACATGTGTTATCTTTGTTTTGATTTGATCGTTATATGTTATATGTTTGAATAACTAATATGTAAATGCGTCATATTAATAATAAGTACATATTTCAACTATTAAAACACTACGAACGACGAAAACTCGACGAAAAAAATTACAGAATTTCAAAACAAGTGCATACCACAATCACTTCATTCAGAACTTATATCCTTGAGATGTTAATTTCAAAACGTATCTAAGAAAATCGAAAAAGGTACACGGAGAAATATTTCTAAACTCATTTTTAATCAAATTTAATATGATTTTATATTTAATATATACATCAGTTGAATTAAGTGGTAAATATGAAAAAACCTATGATATAAATAATTCAAATATCAGTTGTATGAAGGTGAGTCATTATTAATAGTAATGTAGGTATTATATACGAGTAGATAATAATTATCTAGTAATTTTTACACTTATTGCTATAATAATACAATTATTAAACTGTAATGTATTCATCAAGTCTAATAAAACGTGAAAATTATTTTTTTTTTTAGACCTGAATAGATGCTGCCATGAATTATTATAACTACACATTTTTGAAATCTTAGGATAAAATATTTATTTTTTCATGATGTCTTTACTCGCTATTAGTACATCACACTTAAACAAGTTTCAAAATGTGTGTTTATATGTATGTATCATATATATATCATATTTATATGTATCATACGTTTTGTAAAATAGGTTACGGGTAATAATACACTAATTATTAACATTGATATTTTTTTTACGTGAAATTTGCTGTATCAAAAACTACGACCGATTATAATTATCTTTCTAATAAATTTAACACCATAATGTCAGGTGGAATTTATATAGTTTTAAAGAAATCGGTGCCGGCAATAAGGAGTTTCTACAAATTAAGACTTAATTGTTTTAACACATTATATAATTAATTTTACAAGTTCGTATTGTATAAAATAAAATTGAATAGATCATTAATTAAAAGTAAGAGACCATTCAGTTATAATATTCAATAAATATTGTGTTTTCAAATTTACCGTAATCAAACATCTGATTATTAATGATTTAACAAAATAAATAATTACCTAGGAAAATGATTGACACGCTGGTAAGATCTCAACGAACTAATGATTTTCGTATTAACATGATTGTTTGACCATAATAAATTATAATCATTTGAATCAGAGTTAACCTGTAATAATACAAAAACAATTAAGTTCATATATTAAATTGTATGCTATATTTATTTTTAATTTTATGTTAAATTGTACTACTGCAAAACAAAGTAATGTGTAATTCGTATAAATAACAATTGTTATTTGTGAAAATTATAGTTTTGTATATAGGTTTCATTATACTAGTCAATTAAATTTCATGAACCTCTTAATACCAAACGGAAATTATTTTAATTGTACTAGCTGAATTACCCTGCCTCGTCTTTGAGATATTTTATTATTTTAAACTGTAGCAATAATTACTATTTACATGTAAAAAAAATGAGGTTGAAAATAAACGCAAAATAATTTTATATTTTATTGATATTAATTTTTATTTATTCATATATAAATGTACATACACTTCAATTGGACATTATTAAAATCAACACATTCGGCAAAATAAAATATTTTTAGGTGACAAAATAGTGAAACAATCTGTAAATCCCAAACTGAATCCTAACATTTTTACGACTCTTATAAATTCAATTTTTGAAAAGTCATTCCTTAATGCACCTAACATAGTAACATAAGTACATATCCTCAATATTTCAAACAAATCGTCTTGATAATTATGGCCGTATATTGTTCAGTGGGAGAATGGTGGGTGTATGTGAGTATATTATCAAAATTAATAGATTTTATTTTTTGGAATTTATTATCGCTATTGGAGCAATGAACGTGCACAAGGCAAATATAATACATCGAGCCGAACAAAATTACATTTTGCTAACTTGTTGTTTATGTGCTTAGAGTAGTGGTAACGTATAATCATCATGAACTTGAATTGCACGAACCTATAAGCCGACTGCAGTCTTGATGAGTCGGTTCCGTGAACACGTCTGTGTATCGGGTTTTTATATATTTTGGTAGTTTCTTTTAATTTGTTCAAAGTCAGGAAGACTAATAAATCGATATTGATAGATTGTTTTGCTTTTAATAAGTCAAAATACATACATGACGACGATTTAATTAGTAAGTCTTATTTATATTATATACTTACAACTACATAATTAAAATTTAAAATATCTATTATAAATTTCAATTGATTAAATAAAAATTATAAATGAATAGTAAAGTAATTTATTGGAAGGTTTCTTCGTGGATCGAAAAAATGTTTAGCAACATTTAATTAGTTCATACAACAGACAATAATATTATGAATATCGTTTAACAGTAATAAATGTTAATAATGTACATAAGAATGAAATTAATTTATATTATTAAATCATTATTAAAAATTAAATAATTACAAATCTATAATGTAATAAATTATAAATATTTATTATTTAAAAAAATACTATTCTATCAATTTTTAAGAAACAAGCACTATGCTCATATGAAAAAATTCTAAAATTATTTTAATAGACTAATCTGGTAATGGATATGAATAAATAATCAAAAAGAAATCATTGGTTTAAGTTAGTCATTCTATTTTAATTACACGTAATTTATTTTATTGTTTTATATTAAAAATAAACGTTTAACAAAATTAAAACAATAACTAAATGGTTTTATTGATATGTAATTTATATCAATAAATGATATATAATAATATATATAACATACAGGAACATATATACACACACGCAAGGCCGTAACTGAAAAAAAATTTCGGGGGAGTCTAACATTATTATTTAATACAATTTATAGTTAATAAACTATATTCACCGCTAAAATGTTTCTACTTTTTAAAATTTCGGGGGGGGGGGGGGGGCCGGACTCTTGGACCCCCCATTTATGGCCTTGCACACACGCACACACACATTAGGAGAATAACAAAGAAGTACCTTTGAACTTCATTATTGTTGAAATTATTATATAATTTAAAAATTGAGATAGTACCGTTAAATCAAGTGCACGGTCAAAATATTCACATCATTAATTGTTAGTTTACCTTATTTATTTGATTATTTTCATAATTGTCCAATTGATATTAAAACATATTTCTGAATATATACTCGTATAAATCAATGGTAATGGGACTAAAAGTTATCTTATTTTTTATCATTACATTAGATTAGTCGGTAGGTCCCATAGTACATCATAAAATATATATATAAGCCTTGGCTTTCATGTTTTAATATTAAAATGCTAATATGTACGTAGGTTTGTTTATCTTATTATGAACTATCAGATATTAGTTTAATATGAATAAAGAAGGGACTGTAAAAGAATCTTGAAACATTATGGATGTTCTAATTGCGTAAATTGTTGATAAGTTACACATCATATCACTGGTAAAAACAAGCTAAAAATATATATTCGTTTACTATCTATAAACATCTACTTGTACTAATTAATTACATTAATAACATGAATTGTACAATAATTTCATAGTTTTAGTTAGTGTATTACATCTTTTCATCTTGTTATTTCAATGTTGTTAGTATTTCAATGTTTATAAATTGCAGTAGGCATTAGTGAATGAAATGTTATTCGTCATAGACAATAAAGATTAGATAATTTTTCATTTACCTATATTAAAAAATATCTTACTAATGTTCAACGATGAATATTTTACGTTTATATGTTGATTCTTGATTTTTGATTAAACCATAAAAATTGATTACAAAAAGCGTAAAAAACATTTGGACGGATATATGTGAACATTTTATTATTATAGAACTACAATTGTAAGAGTTTTGTTAAAGTTTTTTTTTCGATTTGATTAGATATTATTTGAATTAAATTATTTAAAACAAAATTAGAAATCGTAGTATGAAATATATGATGTATACATTTATATTTATTCATTCCGAGTAACTTTAATTAAAACCTGAGAATTCACAAAATCTATTTTATGTCTTTATACATATAGCATCAAAACCTAAGACTCATTTTTACGAGTGCATCACGAACGGGAAAAATGTTAAATAAAATTAATCAGACACAAACGTCAATGATACGGTTAAACGGAAACACAATAAATAAGTAAAACACAAACACCGCGCAGGTATGCGAGGCCAGCAGGTTTATAATATTTTAGAAATATAGCACGCATTTGAAAATCGGAGTTACCAAAGTATCAACTAGTAGATATGACAGCATTAGTGTGGGCTATCAAATATATTTATATATCAATAAACCTTGGAGGCTACCACTGTGTATAAATCATAACGTCGCCGAGCTCTGAATTAGCATTGAACGGACAATCATTAAACCTCACCTATGTTGATACATTATTGCTAGCACAGGTACGCGTACCGGCTGAAAATTGCACAAAATATAATAAATTATAAGTCAGAACACATATCCGGAATCGTACTGTTACTCATACTAAAATGATAAACATCTTCTAAATATTTAAGACCCCGGAAGTTTTTTTTCTAGTCACATTTCTTCAGTTTTTTTTTCTTTTGTTACAATAAAACTACCTTCGTAGAAAAATATTCCTAGTGCGTGTACTCGTATTAATATGCATTATCTTATAAAGAGAATAAACGTTGTGTTCACTCTTTCAAACTATTATTCCGATGTTACAGTTTCTTATTAAAATGCACACGTACCTATACAAAAGATATGCACCAAGTACTTACGAGTACGCTAAACAATACAGATGCTTATAGTAGAATCCTTGAGCATATTGATTCGATTGTTGTGCACGATATGGGACGATTAATTATAAACTAGTCCGTTAAAATATTTTAATATTAATTCGATGCCACATGAAAAATAATTTTTAATGATGATTGTTTGAAAGAATATAGCTTTAATATTTTTATTTAATTTACCTACTTATGACATTGTAAGTTTTTTTAATTTCTCGTTTTTTCTATAGTAAAATATTACCATTACTGTCGGTAGCGTAATATTATTGTTTAACTACAACACGTTATTTATAAACAATACGTATTTATTTGATTAACGATTTGATTGTTGTGATGTGACAAAATAAATGGTTATGTTTTTAATTTGATAACACTTAACGTCGTTAATTTACAATTTAACCAAATCTTTAAAAACAGTTCGTATACCGTTAGTATCACAATTTTCAAAGCAGAAAAAGCTTAGACGGAATCACTTTGTTAAAAAATCGTCACCAAATCCATTATGAACTTTTAGTCGAATGAAAATTTTAGCATATAAAATGCGTTTTCGTACGATACGTATCGACGGTTAAAATATTGGTCTTTAAACATAAAATGAGTTCCAATTTCACTCGTACAAGCACTAATTAAATGTGTCCGAAGAATAAACAGTTTTTTCCATTTACTCGTATCATTGTACTGCAGTACGCCAATATTTCGATTTTTCGCCGCCAACATGGACCAAAATAAAAAAAAAAAAATAATAATAACAAAAAATAAATATAACTATAAGGATCATGCTTTCGGTTCGCGCCGTAGGATGGTATTGTATGCTCGTCGCTCGTTCCTACGACCATAATCACACCACTATTCTGCCCGGCTAAGAAAAAATGCAATAATTAAAAAAAAAAAAAATAGATAATACTCTCTTACGTATAACATAATACCGTAACTATAGTTATTTATTCAAATATAGGTCCTTGTATGAAAATTATATTGCCGAATTGCAATTAAATATTATCGATACTTAGCAAAAACGCCGTAAACACAACTTGCTAAGAAAGAATGCCGTATGTCTTATCATATACGGTAGTTTTACTAAGCACTTTACTTATAATCCATTTTACAGCATTGTTGTTTAGGAGGAAACATGTCGTAATAATTCCGTGTCTAATAATTTTATTTTAAATTACTGATAAATGGTAATTTTTGAGATTTCACTGTTGTACACTGTTACTCACTATACACATATTTGGTTCACTTTTCTGTAATATTTTGTTAATATTTTAATGATCAGTAAATTTTCGTAATTAGAATTACGGAGTTTTTGCTTAGTAAACAATTCTAAATAATTGATAGCGTTTTCAGTATAAATATAAAAATCAGAATATCTTGATGAAATAAAATTTGAAAATAAAATTGAATAGTTCAATTGGATCAGATATTTTACTAATAAAAATTATGTATTTTACTTTGAAAAATATTATATTTATAAAAATATAACAGCCAATAATTACAAAACATTAAAATTTATTTCACTCAAAATGGCATGTAGGAAACTTACGGTATTCTACCTTAACAGGACAGTATTGTTATTGTTACGATTAACTCTTGAATAGTTATTACGACTGTTATTACGCGGATTGCAATAACATGTCCTGTACCTCGTCACAACCAGAAGCGGTAAATATCAACTGATCTCTACACCGTCGTGTTGCAGGTTCGGTTCAGTGACGGAACATCGAAAAGAAAAATGCCTTGCCGTTATCAACCGCGAAGCCTGTTGGAGCTCTCCGAGGACGCGGTTGCGTCCGGTCTGGTGGGCACGTGCTACGAGGCGCACGAGATGTCGCATCGGGACGCCGCGTGGACGCAATCACGCACGTTGGCGTTCACCAGACACCGGGTGCGGCCGTTCTGGACCGCGTCCGTCCCGTCGCCCGTCCGCCGCCGGTTGCTGGACAAGTGCATGGACCGCATGGCGGACGCGATACGCGATGGCCACGCCATCAGCTCGGCCGTGGGCAACGTGTCGCTGTACCTGCTGCACATCATGCTGGACACGGACATCCGGGGCCTGAGGGTACAGCTGTGCTGTTACTACGGGTGCAGCCACCAGACCGCTTTATTCAAACTGTTGGCGACCGAAGCCAAAGGGCTGGTTTCGCTGGAACTGGCCCGACAGACTCTGTTCAGTTTGGGTACGTATGCGAAACGAACGATCGGAAAACGATACCAACACGTGTTGTCGCAAACAACCCTTTATTGCCATCACCCTTACGCCCCCCAATCCCCTCTCCACAGCAATTGATGGTGAGGTCGGTTCGAAAACGAGTTTTTTCTTTCGCCTTTTACGATAGTCAATAGTTTTTACACACGTTTAAGACGACAAAGAACATTTAATTTTAAACAGTAATTTTCAGACTCGTGAGTAATTTATTTACAACGATGGTAAAATGTAAAGGATCGCGACCTATAGGTAGTTATGGAAAGAATTCCTAAATACGCGCTTGCCATCTATCGCGAATCCGTAACTATTTTGTCGACCGAAACTACAGGGATCTAACCGGTGAGCAAGAAGTGTATATTGATAATATTTCGTACGTTTTTATTTTTCTCATTTAAATGGCCAGAAACTAATAGAAACAGACAGTGGCGCAACTAGTGGTGAGGTTTGGGGGTTGTAACCTCCCAAAATTTTTCTAAGGTTTTTACAAATTCTATGTAGAAAAAAAATAGTTTATCTATTTACACGAAAAACGGCTGATTTTTATGAAATATAAATATTATTCGTATTATAATTGATAACTAGAGCGCGGATTTGTATGCACTTAAAAGTATCGAAATATGCCATATAATATGCAGTAAAAATCATGGAAATATGCAAAAAATATGCAGTCAAAATCATGAAAATATATAAAAAATATGCAGTCAAAATTATGAAAATATGCAAAAAATATGCAAGAATTTTTTATTTATTTAAAATTTATAATTCAACTTATAAAAATTAATTACTTAAATACATAATATACAAAAAAAATTAGGGAATTTTCTGAACATAATTTATTTTTAAAATTTTATTTATTATTAAAATAAATAATTATATGCATTTCAAAATTATCTTCTGTGAAGCTATGTCGTTTATCGGTTAACATATTTTTAAAGAATGAAAACGAACCTTCGATGTCAACCGAAGTTATTGGGGCTTATTTGAAGCAAGTGCTATGTCGATAATCGACTGACACAGCAAGAGCGATTAAGTTTACGTCGTTATCGATTATTTATTTTATAACTAAATATATATATATATATATATATATAAATTATTATTTGGTGACTATGAAATTTATTTTTAATTTTTCTACTAGACAAAATATTATTTTATACAGTATTTTTTAAATTTTCACTTCAATATGCAATAAATTTTGAATTTTGCCAAAATATGTAAAAATATGCAATAACCTCTAAATATGCAGAAATATGCAAAAAAAAATTTCACCATTAGCTTCAAATTATGATGATTCGTGGAAATAACTGACAAAAATCCAAAAATATTGAAAGGAAAAAAATATGTGATTGCATAGAAATCCGCGCTCTATTGATAACAACAATAATATGACAATATGGAACGTTTTGTAACGCTCTGTTCAACTTTAAAACATCATTAACCTTGCTACTACGATTTCTCGATAGTCGTTGCAAATTTTTTTTTTTTTGTGGCATCGCAATATGAAATAGAAGTTAAACAGTTTAATTTGTTATTTAAATATTTTACTTATAACCCTAATTTAATCTTACTGCCTTATCCTGCAGATAATGTTTATTTTTTCCAAATTCACAACTCCCCTCTCTGAAAACCAATCCTGGTTGCGCCACTGGAAACAGATATTCGACATCATTAAGTAAACTCAATCTGAGCTTCCGGTAGAAAATAACGAGAGGTGTGAGTTGTGTGCGTCTAAATTGCAGTGATTAAAATGAGCGTCGTTCAAAGGTGGCTCAGCGTCCTCGCGAACAGCGCCAACGGTTCGATGTACACGCATGCAATGCAGTTGTTCTATAAATTTACAACAAAATTGTTTGTATCAAGACCGATTTCGTTAACCTTAATATCTCGACGGTAATTATTTTTACTAAGATTGTTATCTAGCCACATAAATAATAATAATAATAAAACACGAGTTTTAAATGTGTTCTCACAAGGTTATGTAACGAAAATTACACGGAGAAGTGACATTAAATGGTCTAGGACATAGGTCTAATGACAATACCCGTAGCTATAAATAGGTATTACATAATTCAACCAAATAAATGGTTTTCCGTCATTTTCTGGGGTACGATTAATTATACATAAGTATAGAGTGTAGTCTGTAATCTGTTACCGTAGGAACGTGTAATAATAATATTTATAGTACTAAAGTACACAAAAATGTGACGTGGACTCGTGGTCAACAATTAAATAAAAGTGATCAGCATAAAAATCAGCAGCTATAACAACAATTATTATTATAATAATTATCATATTGGTCGGATGTATCAAAGTTGGCAGATTTGGAGGGGACGATGCCTGACGATATTAAAAATGCATTAGCTGTTGCAGGACGATGTAATAATTTTAATGAACAGGAAGTATATATGAACATTGTTTTAAAATTGTAATCGGGTATTTTTTAATGCTGTTCAAAATTTAAACAAAGCTTTTTTTCTTAAACATTAATACTTGAGAGTCAATGATTTTAATTGAAGCGATTTTGATTTAATGAAAATAAGTAAAGATAATCATAATCAAATTACTTGATTATTGAGAATTATTAAGATATTTCGATTATGTAACCAAGTGATTCTTCACTCGAATAATAATAATTTGAGTACCTACTTGTCAGTTGACTTATCGAATAGGTTAGGTTATATATAGAATTAGGTATTTTAGAATCCAAAGTAAAAACGTAAATAATTAAATAAATATTATTAATTAGTTACCTAATACTTTATTACTTGTTGTTTAGAATATTTTCATTCAGCGGAGGATTGGCTAAAAATTTCGGTCCGGGAGATTATTGTATGACCGGCCCTATACTCGTAGTACTATAATACGACTACCGGCTCACCGGAAACTTTCCCGGTATCCTTGTGGGCCAATCCGCCGCTGTTTTCATTAGCAGACTAACTTCTAAAAATCTAGTTTACATAATATTTTTAAATAGTACCTAATTAAAAATTGTTTTAATAGTTAAAATCGTTAAATTTATTAATAATTATAGTTATATATGAATAGAAAAATTGTAATATTAATTCTTAATATGTATATTAATTTGCCTGGTAAAAGTTAAAATATAAAAATACAAACAAAAAAAAATGGGATTATGATTTATTATCATTTATTTCAATTGAATATTTTGAGTAATTTTTTTTTGTTGCTTTATGGGCCATTTAATTAAAATCTAATAACTAAAAAATATTATTTCATCATTATTTACATTTTATTATTACATAAATTAAAATGTTCACGTAATTATTTCGAGTGATATCTTGATAATGCAAATACATTGATTATTATTGGAATAATAACTACCTAATGCTATATCATTTGAAAATTTCGAGTGATATCTCAATTATAAGAATATATCTATTTTTAATAACTCGATTATGTTCACGACTAAAAATAATGAAAAGTTAAAGAAATTATTAATTGTTTATTAGAAATTATATAGGGTATGTATAACAAAAACAACTACTATTAATAATAAATATACTTATTATATTTTTCAGATGCACAACTATTTCATAAAGTACTGTTATCAACGACTAATTTGAAAAGATTGGTGTTAAAAAATATAGCTAGCGATAAAATCCTTAAAACTATTGGTCAGTCATGTTCTCAGCTAGAAATACTCGATGTATCTCATTCGAGTCAAGTAACCGATAATGGTATAAAAGATCTCCTACTACAAGTTGAAATTAAAGATAAATTAAATCATTTTAAGAGAAAAAAGATTCAAACAACTAATAAAATGTCTTGGTGGAATGTTATAAGAACACTATCAAGGTAAATAATTATATTGAATTTATTTCTCATACGTCATTAGGTTTAAAAATAAATTTAATATATTTTGGTTTTGATTTTTGATTTTAGAAAAATTAAAGTAAAAACAGTTAGCGAAAGAAGCAAAATAAATAATTTATCATTTATCTTAGAATATTGTCAACAACCAACCAAGCTATGTTCTACATTGTATATGTTAAATATTGCCAATACTAGTGTCACAAGTCATGGGATCCTAATTGCTTTAAAAAGTATACCAAAATTGGAAACATTAGGCGAATACTGTCACATTGGTAAAGCTTTAGAATTACTAGATAAATCTTCAATACCACCAACTAAACTTCAACTCACTATGGCTAATGCGTTTCGTACAACTTCATCAAGATTACAATTACTTTGTAACACATGTACAAAATTAAATAGACTGACTATTACAGAACCATTGCATTCTCCAATGATGCTCAGTCAGTTACCCAAAACTCTTACATTTATAAATTTACAAAATGTTCCTACCGATAATGCATGGTTAGATGGATTATACAAATTCTTGTCGGGGCCACAATCACAAAACTTATGTGAGCTGTTTTTAAAGTTCCGAAGAGAAGAAGTTCTACCAACGGTTGATTTGAATAATTTTTTACCTCAATTAGTTAATCTTGAAACATTGTCAATCGATGGAGTTCAATCAACATTCCATTCAGATTGCTCAAATATTGTACTAAAAAAACTAGAGAAAATCCAACTCAGTAATATTGACAATTCGAACACATTGCAACAACTATTGGAATGCACACCAAGTTTGAAAGTATTACACGTTTATGTTTGTTTGGGATTAAATAGTTCAAACCTAATAGACATATTAAATACTAGAGAAACTTTTCCTGCAAAAAAAATTTCAAAAAGTTTAAACTGTATATATATTAATGATCTAACTCTAGCCAATATTAATACAATTAAATGTATTATGGATTTGTGTCCAGAAATAAATAAAATTGGTAATATCAATAATTGGGACATTAGCCAAGAAGAGATTAAAGAGTTAAATATGTGGAAACATATAAATAATTTTAAATTAGAAATACATGCAAATTCACATTGGTACTGTTCCGAATGTTTTCCTATTTTGTAATATTTCAACATAAAAATAATTTATTTAATATTTAAATATTTTGCTATACATTTAGTTAGTATTTATAAACTTTGAAAATGTATGATATATTTTAAAAACTTTACATTTGTTGTAACATAAAAATACTAATTGTAGTATTACTCGTATTATTAATACAGTAATCTATTCATAAAGTGTGATTTATTTTTATTCCTATAATGCGTTACCTATTAATGATAAAATGACCTCTGCTATTTATTGAATATTTTAGAAATAAGACAATTGTGAAAAATATTATTGAAATTATTACTCTAATGTATTAATCGAACACTAAATACTGGTATTATGATGAATTATTATTACTTAAAATGCTAACAATTAAGTACCTATGCTATATAAAAAAAGGATTTTCTTTTATATTCTAAAAATAATTACATTTTTTTTACAAATTGATTGATTTTTTAATCCAACAGCTACCTAAATTTAACTTTAAATTAATCATTTGACAAAAGTTTTAAACTAATTTTATTATACTTACTTCATTCAAATTATTCAAAGTAGTACATTATATTTTTATAAACTTAATGGTCATTTTATTTATATAAACGCAAAAGACTATTCAATAATCTACATTTATACATTAACTTATTGAACAATGTATCAAAGTAAAATGGTATTTACTTATTGTCACGTACTATACATTATCATTTAATGCAAACAAAACAAACTAAAAATTTTATTTTGAAATTATAGTACTTTTAGGACACAAACAGTTATTATTTACATGGCTATCTTACATGGAACAAAACAAAATAAGATAACTTTAATAGATAATTGTATGAGCCATACATTAAATAAAAATGAATAAAAGACTATAAAATGTTTTAAATATTATTTAGGTGACATCTACAAAGCAGCAACATGTGACAATGCAATAAATGGCAATAACATTTAGATTTTTGAAATAAATAGATAAATTATATATATATATATTATTATAGTCAAATTTGTTCTAAAATATAAAAAGTGTAAATTAATGACTATTGTGCTTTTAAGTCACTCTGACTGAGCTGGACAATAACTGTTTGAATTACAATGAAAATTCAAAGTGTATAAAATGAATAAACAACAAAATTACAAATGTTTACAAATATAATTTACTGTATACTATTCATAATTTATACTTATATTTACACAGCATCATTGAGATCAGAACAAAAAACATAAAAGTTTAATAAAGGTTAAGCGATAATCTCAGTAACTATAGATATTTTTATTCATTAAATAATCCCAAGGCACTTTTTGAATAAAATCCTCAGTATTGATGGCTGTTTATAAAGAAATTTGAAATTGATAAAGAAAACCTATATAATGAAGTTATTAAATATAAATCTCTTATAAGTTTCCAGCAAACATTTGCAATTGTAGGCAATTTTTAATAGATTAGATATCTACATTAGATTAGATATCATCTTACATAATTTTAGGGCAGTTTTTGGTGAAATAGCATGAATAAAATAGTTTATTACAGTATCTTATTATTATAATTTTCATACAGATAGGTTAGTTACAATTATTTTAATCATTTTAGACAGTTTTTTAATATGCCTATTTTAATAATAAATATACGAGATGTAATTTTACACAGTTCAGAGATTAAAAATATTAAATAGGAGAGCATAAACATATTTTTCTATAACCATAATGCTTTACACAAACCAAAATCATGCGCAAAGAGTATCTCACCTCACGAAATCCATGGTTTGCTAGTAAAGTTAACACCAATTTTGAGTCAACATTTAACAACTTAAATGACATGTTAACCGATTTCCAAGGCACATCATCCAACGGTCGGTCCAATGCTGACGGATAAAACACACAAGTCTCATGACCATTGGAAGTATTGAAGACATATTTGGTGTACTGTTGGTCGATACTGTTTCTACCCTTTGTGGCGCTGCTCATTTTTATTTCAAAATTAACCAATGAACTAGATACGTAATGCGACAACACAGTCTAAATAACTAATAACACATAGTGCGGGACAAAATTATTTATTGCGGGTAAAATAAACAGCAGTGCTGCTTAAACATTGCATTGATCCAACATTGCGATTGGCGACAGGTAATATACTTTATTACTTATTTACTACCCAACGCGATGTCACTTGGCAATAAAACGACGAGAAATTAAAGAATACGACGACTTTTGTTGATAATAATGATTACGATCAATAATAATGTTGTTGTTGTTGTTAGTTACCAGGGCGTCAATGCGTGTACGTACACAACAACCGTAATGGAATTTAATAGATGTACTGCTTATTACACGAGTATCGTAGATCTTTTATTTCAAAGTTCATACGATAAATCGCGAAATATCCGAGCGTGGAGTTCGTGGATAAATAGTTTTTGAACGCGATGGCTTCAAAACAGTTTTAGTTGTTGTTTTTACGGTAGCCATCTCGTGATAAGAGTTGAACGATAACATATTTGAACGGTTAGATAAGCGTAATGAAAAGGATTGTGCGATAACGGACGAATTTTTTCGATTTCCGTTCGTATGTTGTCGTCTGCGATTTTCTTCCGGCCGGAACTTTCGATGTGTCGTATAATCATCACTCCCATCACTCCCATTTACCTCATAAATTTGTTTCAAACAAACGAAAACGGTTGCACGTTCATCCCGCACGTTTGGTCGTTGTCTCCGGTGGTTGTTCCTAAACAATTATCTTTTCCGTTAAAGTAAGTGACACCGATCATTAATTTAATGCGTTTATGTGTCGGTATATTTTATGGCAGTGTGCTGAGCTAAATAGGGCACGTTCATCACTTAGAATTATCCCAATGTCGTATGAAATCTATTTGCTTCAACTCATCGAAACAGTTTCTCTGGACTTAATTGTCCGTATTGGAATTTTAAATGTTAAGATTTGAATCCTACATGATATGTTAAACCACACAATACGTTATGGAGATCTAAAGAAAATTGGATTTTTTTATATGAAAACTCGCCAACAAAACTTGCCAACTGATAAATTGTTGGTTTTTTTTTTCAGTATTTTTTTCTTGGTAGATAGATGTCTAAGGGACTTATTAATTTCAGATTTCTCTCGGTAACATATCCTTCAACTGTTATGTAGTGTTTCCTTAGCATTTTAGTACTTATCCTACTCACCATGGTACTTCATAATAATTTTAATGAATTGTTGGCACATTTAAATTCGATGTATTAAATTGGAAATTCAAATTTAATAGTAATACATATATAAATAATAAAATAATAAATTAATAAATAATATTTAATTTAAATTTAATAATCATTTATGAAAACTTATCTATAAAAATGGTATTGTTTCATAATTTAATGATTAGTAGTGTCCTGCAGAATTATAAATACTATTGGAATTCTGTCTGAGTACTTACTCGTATATCTTTATTGATAACTGAAGCCTATAAAGTCTTACTGAACACAATTGTTTATAAATAAAAAAAATATGCATTTAAAAAATATCTAGAACATTGGATTTTTGTAATTGTGGTGTTTCGAATTAATTAAGTATTTGGTTTTTGCGATGAAAAATTGATGGTATCATGTACATAAATGATGTGATAAGATTTGACGATTTGACATATAAATAATGTGAAATATTTTTTTCTTATATCTAGTAATGATTTTAATAGTAATTAATAAGTATTTGCTTAACTGAACAATTTTAAGTTAAATCTTTTTTGGTCATGTAACATGTGTATTAACTAGTAAAAATTTGAATTGTTCTAAATACTAGCATATAAAATAATTTAATTGGTTTTTTCATAAATCTGTTTATCAATTGGTTAATGGTTTACTTTTGTTTTTAATAACATTATTTAATTATGAACGTTATATTTATGTAGCTACAGTACATGTATTTATTGTACTTGTAAATTACTGTAAGAAAGTTACTATTGAAAATATGTACTAACACTTTAAAGAATTAATTTTGTCATTTTTATTTTAAATCATTTTTGTGGAAAAATAAAAATTATGTAAGTAATTAATTATTAATTTTTTTTCTACTTGTATTTATAAATAATGTATTCGTATTAACAGATAAAAGGATAATGTCATCAAACAGTACAATTGATGATGCTGAGTTGAAATCTAGACTGTCCAAATATGGTATATCTTACCCTATTACAAATACAACTAGAAAAGTTCTTTTTATGAAACTTCAAAAATTAGAAATGGAATCTTTAAAGAAAGAAACCAATCAATCTGTTAAATCTATTGCCACCAACAGCGATGAATTAATGGTAAATTAAATTATTCATGTCAAAATTAAACAGCAATTGTATAACTATTATAGCTTAATTTTATTAATAATAAATAATTCCATTTAATTTATATAAATTAATTTTATTATCTGAACATCCGTTATAGTTTCATTATTAATATTAGATAAATTAGTAGACACTTTTTATCTAAATATGTTAAGGTTTGAGTGAGTTCATAGTTATTGATAACTTGTATATTGTTTTCAATTTATTGTATGCATATTAATCAATTGTGTATGTGTTACTTGAAGGCTAAAAAAATGCATTCCACTATTTACACTGTTTATTTATTTACTCTAGTAAATAATATATTATATATTTTATATTTTTAAAATTTTTAAATTCATTATTTTGATCAATAATTTAATAACACATTTCAAATGTTACATGTAGAAATAATACGTAATAAATGAGATGTATGAATAATACATAATTCATATAAATTATGAAAAATATATTTTACACATAGGGAGTAAGAATTTATTTTAAAATTTTTATATATCATAGTTTAAAATATTTTGTATATTCCTTGAACAGGGAACTTATAGCATATTTAACAAAATATTTTTCTATCAATATATAATAAACAAATAATGAAGATCTGTTACTAAACAGTGCTTGTTTATGGAAAAATAGCTTAACGAATTTGACAAAGTTATTAATAGTGATCGAGAAGAGTTAATTTATTTATTTTAACTGATGATAAATTAACAAAAATTATAGAAAATTTAGTTCCAAGAATTTATCTGATAGAAATTTCTCAACAAATGTTATTGAAAAATATTGTATTAATCGGATATTATATAAAAATTAGAAATTTAAAAATTGTTCATATTTTTACTGTATTTGTCATTATGCAAAATATATTTTGTGTAGGACACTTCAAGAAATGATCTGAACGAGTATGAAATCCGTGAAGGAATGTTAAAGCATGGATTGAAAGAAGTTCCATTGACTGATTCTACTCGTCCTGTAATCAGTAATATCTTAAGAAAAAAAAAGTGACTTTATATTAAGTATGAGTTCAAGAACTTTTTAAAATTAAAAACAAATTTTATGTAAAAAAGTTGTTAAAACTATTTAAAACCATTGTAATATTTATTTAAAATTTAAAATTCAAAACAGTGTACTTTTCTAAAACATTATATATTTTTGTTATAATTTATAAATTATGTTCATAAATAAAAATACCTATGTATTAGAGAAGGTTTTTATACTATGTAATTTAAGAATATTTAAGTTTATATTTGATGCAAACTATTTTTGTGTTATTACTTTATTTAGTAAATAAAGCAAAACACTAATGTATGCATTAAGTAGTAATTATAAGTCATTAAAAAATCTTGAACCTTCAATATACATGTTAATAGTTTTTACAAAGTTACCATGGGAATTTTATTAATGGGTTAAACCGCTAATAATCATTGATTGTATTAAGTACATTTATTTTGATTTTCAGTTACTTAATTCATATATTTAAAACTGGTAGTTCATTGTATCTTTTTTTTGGTTGAACTCCATAAACATGTATACTTTGATATCGTGAATGTTGAACTAGTGAGGTTCTGCTATATTCTACGTAGCTTATTTTATGATGTACAAAGCTTTTAACATTTCTGTTATTGAAAATATATTATTTTTTTAAAAAAAATTATTTAGTATGATTTTTTTTCTTTTGAAAGGTATAATTGATTATTAAAATATCAAATTAACTTTTCAACAAAATTGTTAAAAAGAAACTAGTAAAAACTTTTAAATAAATTCAAAACAGGATAATGTACACTAAATTATATTTTCATATTGTTTAGGATGAAATAAAAATCAGTCACTTCATTAGTGGTTTATTGTAAAGATAACAGTATTAATTATGCTAATTTGATAATTAACAGTTAATGAAAAAATGTTCGATCCAAAAGTTTCATATAGCTGTAAGTGTATTAGGTTTATTTTGGTATTTTATTGGTGTAATATAACATTATATATGTTTGTTTGTAATTATGGATTATTTTATGAAACTTATCTTAGAAAATCTGTAAATTAATTTCAAGCTTAATTAATGATAAAATAATTAAGAGGGTGCTTCAGTATAACAATTGTCTTTGCCTTAGATGCATATAGTAAAGTAAAACTACTATTCATATTGTACTTGTTGAGACTATAATTTTAATATTGAATTACCATGACTTACTATATATATAAAAGTTATCAAGTTCATAATTGTTTTAAATTACATAATATTTTGATTTTACTATTTTGCTAAAGGTATTAGTAATTGTATGCCTTATCAGTATTGTTAGTAAATTTCTAAAAGTTATTATTTAAAATTATTGAAGTACAGAGAGTTGTTTTATTATTCTATATGTATGAGACATGTATTAATTTTAATAAATTCACATAGTGATTTTGAATGATTCTGAATTCTTATAATAATATCCAGATAAACTACAAGATAAATGTTGGTTGGTAAATTGAGTTTTAATCACAATTATTGTTTTACGAATACAATACATTTTTTGAGAATGAATGAAATCAGGCAAGTGCCCACGCACAGTTCTGTGTCAGTGTTATCTGTATCTGTGTATCTTGCTTGTTCTAATATTAGCATAATTGAATGAGTTTACATTTTAATTTCTGTGTTTTATGTCACTTAGTTTTATTAAATTGCAAGTTAATAATATATAATATTTTATGAAATAGTAAAATCTAAGATATCGATAAAAATTTGTAGCCATTCTTAAAAATATATTTTTTAAATATAAAAAATAATTTTTTACATATCTATTGATTTTACAGCCATGGTGATAATTTTTTAGTACAAAACAAGCACTTTGGTATACTTAACTAATAGGAATGGTATACATTATATAATATGTTTTGTTGTGCTTCCATAAAATGTTCCTATTACTTGCGATTTATGTTATGTTTCTATTAAATGTATTAATATCAAATTTAATAATTTTATTTACTGTTGTCATACTTATATTTTTTTACAGGCACATAAACAACAAAATGACTGATACATTTAATGATTTTTTACCAGAAGACGATGACATATTGGCTTCCATATTAGAAGAGAGTTTAAGGTAAATCACTAAACAGCTTAATTTAGGTTAATAAAAAAAAAAAAAAAAAAATGAATAATGACTGTACAATTTAGAAGCTATTCCACTAAACTGCATTATTTCAATAACTATAAGCTTATAAGATTATTAATGAGAAATGTATTAATTTTACAGTATTATTTTTATTTCTGCTATCAAATTTTTAAGCTGCTAACTGTTTCAAATGTTTAACAATTTATTATTGGGTCTAGAGTTAGTTATAACCAGGGCTAGAATTTGTATGCAATAAAAAATTGTAAAATAGGTACACACAAAAATATAATTACAAAAAAAAAATAAAAATATTTATTGAAGTATCTAAATCAGTGAGTGGCTGTTTGTCTTAATATAATATAATTGAGAAATTTATTAATTAATTTAAAATAAAATTTATGTTTTATAAAAAAAAATCAAGTTTATACTTTAATCAACAGGGCTAGAATTAAATACGAAATATTAATATTAAATTATGAATATTAATTACGAAATATACTATAAAACATTCATTTTTTGCATTTTTACAATCGAAGTATGCAATAATATTCATTTTATTCAATATTTGCAATAATATCCATTTTGTCCAAAATATGCAAAAACATGCAAAATAAAAACACCACATTTATCTCACTACTAGGTGGTTCGTGGACATTACTGGCAAAATCAATAATCAGAAGTCGCAAAAAAAAAACATGCTGTTGCATACAAATCCTAGCTCTGGTTATAACCTTTCCTATATTATTTTAGCTTATTAATTATTTTGAAATTGAAAACCTGTAAACTAAAAACGCATAAATAAGTATGCAATAATGCATTAACATTTGATCAAATATGCATTAAAAATTCTTAACTATACACGAAAAAAATTTATAAGTATTTTTTTTAAATAATAAGAATTATCTATTCATATTTTTAAAAGTTATATTTTATTTTTTCGGTTACATTTTATTAAAAATATAATTAATGAACATACGTTGCGACGAAAATAGATAGATTGAAATGGACACGTCAATTGGAGGAGAGTGGTAGTGGGGCACAATAACATTGTTTCCGTGGACTGTTTTTAACTTATAAAACTTAATACCTATCATAAAAAAATAAAAATATTGATAAAATACTAAGATTTTGTAAATAAGTTCGGAAAAGTAAATGAGAATGAATTATACAACATTTATTGATCTATTTATTTTTACTTCCACGAAAAACGATTTTGCTGAATTTATATAAAGTAATATGCACTAATAATTTAAAAAACAAATCAACTATATGTCAAATAGAAAATGCTTTATTGAAATTTAGATTTTTATTACCATTGTTATGAAATGGATTTGTGTCTCATTTAGCATATTTTCTGATTTAGCTAAGAAGACATGCAAATGCATGAACTTACAAGCCCTGATAATGATAATTAACAATATGTGTCAATTTCAAAATCTAATTTACAGTTAACAAATAATTTAGAAATTCATTGCTAGGTATTTTCTTATATTTAATAAACATATTTTTCCATTAAAATTATCCATAATTTAATATATAATTAAATTAAGATTCTTTTTTTAATATATTATTAATTATTTATAGGCTGTGGCTAGTTTATTATATTATTCAAATAATTTGCAAAAATATGATTTATAGACATTATAACGATGTGGAAGTACCTCTACAATCTATCAATTTGAATCCTGTACCTGGACCTAGTGCTACTTTGGATCCTGTACCTAGATCTAGTAAAAATTTAAAAGACGTCAGTACAACAGTAATAGATTTATGTGAATCACCCAAGAAATGTCAAACTGTCCAAAGCAGACTATCACATTTCTTTAGAAAACCTGATAGAGATAAAATATGTGATAGAGAAACAGATGATCAAAATCAAGAAAAACAAAAAAATCAAATCGAACATATAGATCTAAGTTCTTCACCTGAACACAATGAGAGCTTTAGTAGTTTGTGAGAAAACATTCACTCGTGTATGAAAACTTTTAAATCCAATTAATATTTGATTTAATTTTTAGACCAGCTATTTTTTACAAAAAACCAGATGCAGATGGGTTTCATTTATCATCTGGTTCACATTATGTGTATCCATCAAATTTTCCAGTCAGGGAGTATCAAATGGAAATTATTAAGACCGCTTTATTTCATAATACTCTTGTTAGCTTGCCTACTGGTATATTATACATGTTTCATTATCTATGAGTTTATTTTATAGATAGCCAATAATTGAGTTTTTTTTATTATTATTGTTAGGTTTGGGGAAAACATTCATAGCAGCTGTGGTCATGTATAATTTTTACCGATGGTATCCTATGGGTAAAGTAGTATTCATGGCTCCAACGAGACCATTAGTTGCCCAGCAAATTGAAGCTTGTTACTCGATAATGGGTATTCCTAGAGATGTAACATTTGAAATGACTGGTTAGTTTTATGATGTTTGATTTAAATTACCGAATTAAAAACAGTTATTTAAAATTCCTAATTGAAATATAATATATAACATGTACTTGTTTTTCAGGCAACATACCACCTGAACAAAGGTACTTGGCTTGGAAGAAGTACAGAGTGTTTTTTCTAACACCTCAAGTTTTAGCTAATGACTTAAACCTCGGTAAATGCCCATCAGAAATGTTAAAATGTATTATTGTAGATGAAGCACACCGTGCTACCAAAGATTACGCTTATGTTCAGGTTACCTATTAATTTAAACTCATTATAAAATTACATAATTTGAATGTATGTTAATTTTAACTATATATATCTTACAGGTATTAAAACGTTTACACGAAGAAAATCGAATTATAAGAATAGTTGGATTATCAGCTACTCCAGGTACGACTGTAGAAACAGTCGCTGAAGTGATACAAAATTTAAATATATCAAGGTTGGAGTTTAGAACTGACGAGTCTCTAGATGTAGCAAGATATACAAATAAAAAAAATATTGAGTGTATACCAGTTAAACTTACCAATGCCATATTGAATGTACGATCTCAATTTTTAGTTGTAAGTGTGGTTTTAAATTAAGAATATTATACTTAGGTTAAATAGTTTTTAATCTTATGAGATATTCTCGTATAATAACACTTACTATATAAATCATATACAAAATTGAGTATAAATTAAATTATAATCAATGTTGGTAAATTTATATATACGATAATCTAATTAGGTAATAAAATTGTATATATTACATAACAGTAATCTTATTTCAATCAAAGGTTTGTTGATTATTATATGGAATATATATATATATATATATCATATATTTATTTCTGAGTTCTTCAAAAAACATTATTTTATTTTAGATTTAAATTTAAGTTTGAATTAATTTAAAATAATAAAAGAAAAAAAACATTTAACATTAAACCATTTTTTTTTATAATTAGTTTTAATTTAGGTATCAACATAATTTCATGTATAGTAATAAAAATATATAAATTATATTAATTTATGTTTTCCATTTATGATTTTATTAAATTTAAATTTATTACAGATTTATGATAAATTCTCAAGACGTTTAAAACAATATCATGCACTTAGTGGAAATGTTACTAATCTAGCAAAATTTCAAGTGAGTGTGAAATAAAATAATTTTTACTGGAACATCAATATTGTAACTATAATAGATAACAATTTCTTATGTGGAATTTTTAATATATTTTTTTAATTCTATATAAATTGTATAATTCTAGATACTTGGTGCCAAACAAAAATTTTTAACAAGTAATGTTGCTCGTGAAATGCCAAAAGCTCTTGTTGGTTGTTTAATAAATGATTTTACAATATGCATGTCGTTGGCATATGCTTTAGAATTATTGACTATTTATGGTATCAAAGTATTTTATTTACAGTCATTAGGTAATGTGCTTCAATTTTCTAACAACAATTTGTCAAGTATAAAACTAGTATCGGTAGTTTATATTTTATTTTATTTGTATAATTTAGAAATTTGTGAAAATCATAAATGTTTATCAAATGATGCAGATTTTCAAAAAATGTTAACTAATATAAATAAAGAATTAAATTGTCAAGTAAGTTAATTGAAGTAATTTTATGGTTTTTTGTTTCTAATTAAAATTGTTTTATAGGACTTGACTTGGAGTCACCCTAAGCTGGTTGAGCTGAAAAAAATTGTTCAAGACTATTTCGGAAATGAGAATACTGAATCAAACAGCAAGATAATAATATTCTGCCAGGTTATTAGAATTAAAATGTATTTCTGTATAAGGCAGAATATGGATAAAATTTTAATTTGCTTGTTTAATGTCAAATTTATAACTAAATTATTATTTATTATATTTACAGTATCGGTTGGTTGTGGTAGAAGTGTTTGAGCTTTTAAAAACATTCAGTTCATCTGTGAAACCTGTCATGTTTGTTGGACAATCTTTAAAAGAAAAAGGAGGTCTACCTCAGAAAAAACAACTGGAGGTGAACGAGATTAACTGATCAGATTGATTTAAATATATTGTACCATTCATGTTGTTCATTAATATTATTATTATTATTATTATTATGTTTTCCAAATAGGTTATGAGCCGATTTAAAAGTGGTGATTTCAATGTTTTAATTGCTACTAGTGTTGCTGAAGAAGGCTTGGATATCGGAGAGGTTGATTTAATAATTTGTTTAGAAGCGAACAAGTCTCCAATTAAATTTGTTCAAAGACTTGGTCGTACTGGTCGAAAACGATCAGGAAAGTGTGTTACTTTACTTACTGAGGGCAAAGAACAAATGGTAAATAGTATAATTTCTTATGTGTATATTTTACATCAAAATAAAGTTAATGTATTAACAATTTGAAGTTCATGAAAACCAATCATATTTTATATCATTGTACTGTATGTGGTAGTGTAATTATTACTCAGTGCATACGTAGTAAACAGTGTTAGTGTGTAAATCTACAAATATTGAGAGCAATCTCATGTTGTAGTCAGTGGAATTCGAAAATCTTTTATGTTTTTAGTTTTAGTTGCACTTACATTAATTATCTAATTTTATTTATAGTTTGATGAAATATTAACAAATTTTGTAAGTGAAGGAATAATAGCTTATAGTTTTTAATTTTTTAAATGATTATATTTCAGTAAAGTTAAAAATAATGTAAACTTGTCTTTATGATTAGAAATACAATTCTAGTGTTGCTTCCAGTAAAACACTTGTAATCAAAATGTTGAAAAATAAATCAATACTTTCTAAACTGGCTCAAGGAGGACCAAGATTGATACCAAAACGTGAGTATTATATTTTCTACTTATTTAAATCTAAAATTAAACAGCTGTTTATGATTTTATTTCTTTTAATGTAATAACTTTGCTGTCAAAACTTAAATATATAATATATAATTGTATTAGATATCAATCCAAAATGTTTAATGATACATGTGAAAAAAACTGAAGAGATTTTGCCGGCAATTAAAAAAGGTAAAGGGAAGAAAAAATCGGAGGCTAATAATATAATGAAACACATAGAGATGAACGGTGCGCAGAACCAAGAAGAAGAAGACGGACTCGATGTTTTTCAAAATTGTTATGGTAAACATTAAAGCCCTAAGGGATCATTTTTGATAGTATTAACTTCGTAATTTTAATTATCAAATATTAAAATGCATCTTTTTTTTTTTTTTTTGTGGGAGGGCTTATGTAATCACTTTCAAGAGGTGGGTTGGAACAAGTAATATTCTAAAGTTTAAGAACTGACTTGTTAGCTAAATTTTGTAACTGAAATGTTATATAATATATTATTTAGTGAAGTGTCAGTATGATGTTAGATTCTAAAGCTTACCTGTTACTTATGAGTATTGTTCTAAAGATGTCAAACGTTATGCTACCTATACATCATTTAATTCCGTGTACATATTTCAAATTTGTCAAATTTAAATAAGATAATTATTATGCATAGTTCTTATACATATTTATACATATATATTATATTATATTATATTGTATATATATATATATATATTTAGTTTTTAATGTTAAAAATCAACTAAAAATTAAAATTAATTAATTATAAAATATAAAATCACAACTAATTTTATTTTTTTATATTTAGTCGCAGTTTTATTTACCCTGCGTTACTACCCTACACAAGTGTTACATTGCTATTACTTTGGGTCTCTTGGACCTAATTTTTCAAATTTACTTGAAACTTAACTAATATTAAACTCAAATACCCAAATATGTTTCAAGAATATTAATTTAACATAAAATAAACAATTATCTTTATTTTTTTATAATAAATTTATATATAATTGAAACTGTATATACAACTTGATTTATTAGACGTGGAGTAGTAATGCAGGTTAGTAATGTATATACCTATGATGATAAAATTCGAAAATGGTTGTACTTTACAAATATAATAATACTCCAGTCGAAGCTTTTATTAATTAATTCATTTCTACTTATAAACTATTTGATTATCTATTTATTAATTTATAAGTATTAATCATTTATTAATTTTTTATTATTTCATTATAAAATATAGATTATTATATAAATAATACAAATATTATCTTCTATCTAAGTGTTCCAAAAGATATATTTATGGAGTTTATTTATGGTAAAAATGTTGATTTTAATTTAAAATTTGAAATTGTTTTATATCAATACAATAATATTATTTAAAAATGTAATTTGGTACTAATTTCAACCGGGTTTTAGATTTATATCGCTATTTGTTTCAATATATTTGATGTAATGGAATCGAAACCAAGTGATGCCTCATATTGTACTTTTTAATTTTAAACAATATCACTTTTTCAGTGAAATTACTATATTTTAATCTAATCTATACTACAAAATAACATAATATTTTAATACTTTGGCTCTAATAATCCTTTAATTGTAACTCTAAATTTGTTTTGCGATTTTTCCATTCACGGCTTTAAAATAATTGAATGAAATATAATGAATGTATTCACTCCTTTTTATATATTTCCGACAATTATTCTTTAATTGATTTACTTTTATGAAAATTAAATATTATAAAAACTACTCAATTTTTTCTTTATTATTCATCACTATATTGAATAATCCAGACATATTTAGTATTATAAATATAATTATGTGTTATATATTTGTATTATTACATATTATTTCTGTAGTATTAGTACTATTAATTTGTTAAAATCTTGTTGTTAAATCATAAAATACTTGTACATCCTATTTCTGACATTATTGCAATGGTTTTGATTTTTCAATATACCTACAAAATTAACAGGGTAAAGTTAACTTTCTTTCACGACTGAATTAAAGTATTGATATTTCATAAATCGAAGAATATATTAAGAAAAACTATAGAAAAAAATAAAATATTTAAATTGACCTTTTTCGTTTGTACATTATATATTATAATTTGTATTTCAGATAAATCTAAAAGAAAGTCAAAAAAACGAAAAACGGTCGAATTAGAATCAAACGATATAAAAGAAGTTGAATGCCCTGTCGAAAATAATAACGCGGATTTAATTTCAACTGATTTTGATTTTATCGCTGAAAAAAATGATGTCCGTGTTGAGGACGAGCGTAGTGAAGTGGTTATTGATTTGGATTATTTTTCCGAAGAGGAAAAAGCTTTTAACGAATGGCTACAGTCATGCGAGCAGACGGATTCCGTTGTGATGAACGACCGATTTTTTAAGCTGTTAAATTTATTTACCGACTGTGCTACGTCCAAAATTAACGGCAGTGAAAGCGAAGTTTTTAAATGCAATATCGACGGTGAAATGGGAAACTTCGACACCGAAGAGTTGTTCGACAGCCAAACAAATGCGGTAACGTGCAACGGAGACCGCGCGAATACGAGTTACGCAAACGAATTATGGCGAAATACTGGCGCGCAACTAAGTCCGGCGACAACGTGCAGCCGAAACAGAACGGAAGACAATAATGTTGCCTCGGAAAGTGTGCCGAATAGAAAACGAGTCCACGACGAATGCGAATCAGAAAGCGATAACGAAGACATATTCAAAAGCCATCGTTTCAAAGGGCGTCACGACGATCCGACCGATATGAAAAATTCGATACGAACGAGTTCTATGGCTTGCGGTAGTTTTCCGAACACGGGATCCGCAGTGGAACTGGGCGAAGACGAGAGAAAAATCGATTTTAACGCATTGTTTGAAAACTCAAGCGCCGACGTCGAAGACGATGACGCCGGTGAACCGCAGTTTTTCCGATCGGCCGGACAAAATTTGAGGCCGGACGCGGTCGGAACGACGGTCGGCCGAGACGACGCGGACGTTATGGGATCCAACGGAAGCGAAGACGACTTTGCGGTAGAAGACGTAAACTTCGAAGACATGTTCAAGAGTCAGAGGGCTGATAGATACATCGAGAAGTACAACGATGAGATCGTCGGGGAACGGTTGGACGACGATTCCGACGGATGGACGTGCGATGATCGAGCGAGCCCTGTACAAATGCTCAGCCGACCGGGCGGAACCGAAGACGGCGGAACCGAGGACGGCGGTACCGAGGTTGGTGGAACCGAGGACGGCGGACGTGTGGTTAGACGGTCGGCAGACGGGCTGAACACGCCGCCGGGAAGCGCGCGGTATTTGGAGGGGACGTCAAGCGCGGGCGGACGACCGGAGGACGCGGAAAAGACTACGGAAAACGTGGACGACGACGACGACGCGATCTCGACGGACGATTCTCTCGAGTTTTTCAGCTGGCGGAAGCCGACGAAACGCGACCGGACCGAAGTGGCCGACAGTTCCCGCGCACCCGTCATGCGCGCCGTCGACATGTCCACGCCACCCTGTTCGCAACCACGCGTCGTGGTGGACGCCGGAAAAGTCCGCGATGATGGTCCACTGCCGTCGCCCCGCGGAAACCACGACCACGACGACGACATGGATTTCATGTTCGTCGACTACCGCGGCGACGGCACTACCGAAGCGAACGCGAAAGCACCGGCTGATCCACCACGTCGGGCGGACGAGAAACCAGCCGCGGAAACGGCGCGGCCCTACGGCAGTGGGTCGGTCCCGTTGAACATACTGAAAGCGTGCAACCTGTTCAAGCCAGGCATCAGCCTGAAGATGAGCACGGCCTCGTCCAAGCGACCTCGACCACCACCGGACGCCGTCGTCGTCGGACCGCCGCGGACGGCCGCCGATCACGCGTCGGCCGCGCGACGCTCCGTCGACGATATGTCGCCCATAAACCCGCCGAACCGTCGGCATTTGCCGCCCCGGTTCTCGCAGTCCACTCCCAAAGTGGCCGCGGCGCGGTTGAGACCGTCACCGGGAATCGCTGCCGCCGACACGGTCGACCTGTTGTCTTCCAGTAGCGATTCGGATGTCTTCGTCCACGAAGATGGCGGTGGCCGTGACGAGACGCCGACTTCTCGGCGTCGTAGTAATGCTCGGAGAAGACGGCGGCGGCGCAAGCCGAAAAAGGTAAGTCGTCTTCCCTGTCGGCGCAGGTCGTTTTGGCACCACAATTTTAAAAATTTGTTCATTCGACACATGTACACGGGACAGGTTTTCGTTTATTGTTTCAACTATACATTTCAAGTATTCTCATTTGAAAGAACAATGTGACGTGTTGAGTTTTCATATAAAGATAATATTAGATAGAGGTTTCAGTCAATTTATTGCACCAAAACTTTTTTCCTATCTAGTTACGCCTTTTATCAAAATGTAGGTTAAACAATTTAAACAATGTTACTTTTTTTGTTTTTTAAGATTGTTCCTTTTATTTATTTTATACTTTCGAGGGAGCGGTGTGCGCACGGTTAGTGATTTTCGTCATTCTCTTTATGCATACAAATAACCAAAACTGCACTACCTACCGTATATCTACTTATCCGCTGTTCAGTCATTCGTTAGAAACATCATGTTTTTTCTTCCGTTCTATGAATTTGTACTTCTGTTGTAGAAACTTGTGTTCATCGACGACGAAGCTGATGTCAGTTATTTCAATGACTCAACTGCAACCGCTGCGACGACGGCACCCAAGATCAGTAGCAGTGACTCCGAGTCGTCCGAAAACGACAATGACGATGATTTCGATTCCAGTTTTATCGACGACGACGAGGAAAAGTCCGAACCGTCGACTAGCATAACGAAGCAGTATTTGCGATCAGTAAAGTACGTCACCTTTAATCACATCAATAATAGAATAGATGTTGATTTGCAAATCAATATTATTTTTTATATTTTTAACCGTAGTATTCAATTTAAATATTATATTATTCTGATGCAGAATATTTCTTACAAAATAGTAGGTTTATTAAACACAGACCGTTAATGGTTGACGCTAATATAATGTTTTTTCGTAACAACATTATTACGATTATGTAAATGGTGAATTATTTTCGTTTAGAAGCCCGACACATGTTCGTGGAGTTTTCAAGATACCACAGTTGACGAGACATCATTACAACATGGACGTTTACTCTCAAGCCGTCGACAGAAACGATCATAACAGTTACGAAGAGGTAAGATAAACGCATTTAATCACGAGGTCAAAGTGTGACGGATTATCGGACGACGACGGCCGGATCGATTTTTATACTTCGGACAAAGGCTTATGAAAATAATATTTATTCATAAACCTTCGTGCAAAATGTATTGTATAGTTATTGATGACGGGATTGGTCGGGCTATGTGTTGTTTTATACTTGTTTTTCGGGTTAACGAATTTTATTATAATATATAATTATATATTTATATTATTTGCGTTTTTTTTTTTTTATAATCGCAGGATTCGTTTTGCGTGAAGGACGAGTCGGATTTATCGTCCAACACGAGTGCACAACAAACGTCGGAGAAACGCCCGTGCAAGCCGCTGAAACGAAAACGCATAGTGTCGCCGCAAAGTTCAGACAGCGATAGTCCTAATCAGTTCCACATGAATATGATGCGAAAGCGGTCCAGGGCCAAAGCGGCGTTGGACTTCAGTTAACGACGGAATCGCATTTTGTTCCGTTCGATTTTCATTCGCTATTGAATCATTATTTTTTATACCATTACATTTGCGCAGTACCTGTGACAAACCTAATTCTCGTTTGCTCAGTGTTGTTGACCGTTAACGAACAGATTTTGGATGTCAGAATCTACCATTTATGTATTGAACGGTTATGTGTTATAATTACATTTTGTACGTGTCAAACCCGTGTAAACATTGATTTTTTTTTGATTTTTTTCGATGTTAACATGATGCGTATGCCATATTTTTATTTTTTAATAATTATAAGTTTGAATGTACTGATCAATGTGATATTCAAAATGTTATAATCTACCTGTAAAATCAAATGTGATAGTAAAATTAATAAATGTAACGGTCTTTTTTTTTTTTTAAACATTTGTTGATTGTTAAAATGTTAAGGCCTACATTAGGGACTGATCCAGAAATGTTTCACTTGGGGAAGGGACCACATAGTTAGATATACAAATGTAGGATACATAAGTTGTAGACCTAAGACACAACAAGAAGTATAATTATATCCAAATTAGGCTAAAAAACGTTTAACTATTTTTAATTTTAAAATCTTGAAATACTAACCCACCTAGTCGAATAATATTACATTTAGGAAATATCTAACTATTAAAACTTTAAATGCTAGTTTTGTCAGCGCCGAAATCATTTAATGATACATTAAATGATTTCGGCGCTGACACGACATTTCCGACGCGTGCCTCAGTTAAATATGAATAATAAGAAGTGTTTTTTTTTTCTGATCACAAATCTGTCCACAACAGACGCTTATTACGTCACAGCAGTGGCGTCCACAGGCTTTCCATGAACTAGTGCAATTATAATTATAGGGCCCCCAAATTTATTTTGGTCTACATCCAAACGACCATATTCGTTTGATTGAAATAATTTGTTTTCCAAATGTATTTTCAAATGCATGCTTACAGTGCCGCAACTAAAATTTTGAGGCCCAGGTGGAAACTAATTTTAGAGGTCCCTATTCATCAGTGGTGTTAAAATGTTGTCATTGATGAATTGATGAACTTATATAAATAATATATATAAATAATGAACTTATAAATGCCCTCCCCCATTTATCTAAGCTCATCAATCCCTCCCAGCCCAGGTTAAAGACGGTATTTCAATTTTAGATATCCGCTAAAAGTCTGTTTCTTTTAAAAAATATATGTTTACATTACTTAAATTTTAAAATGTTTGCACTCCCCCGTTCCTCTTTATCGAACACTTTTGAAACTAATCGAACAACTTAATTTTAAGCAATGATAGGTCGTATTTTTTTTGTATATTAGGAAATATATTGAAATTCTGATTCGATACAAATTCGATTCATAGTATGTATATTTCAGATATAAACATTTTTGTTGCATAATTTTGCATGTTTTGTTACTTTTTGTATCAATTTGCATATTTTGGGTTTAAGAACATTTATATGCATATTTCATGGATTTAACAAATTTTTTAAAAAAATTTATAGTTTAATAATAAAATATTAGATATATGATAACCAAAATTCTAAGTTTTATATCGTTTGACAAAATAAATTAATTCATCAACGGCTATTATTTGTATTGCTCCGGCTCCCAATGCACTTAACAATAATGTCATAATCTTTATAGTACCGAGAACTCGTAATAGTGACCACCGCCGACCCATATTTATTTTTATACAAATTTACCACTGTATTAATATTTTGTAACATGACATAAATAAATTGTATAACCATGGATAATTCGTAAACAATTATGTTTAATCGTTAGGTTTTTATTAGCTTATGCACAGTATTATTTCTATTCGTTATAATACTGCATACATCTGCATGCAAGCGACTTCGTTGTACAGTGTACACTAGTCAGTAGTCAGTTTATTATTTTTTAAGCAATTATTTTCCAATTTTTCACTGAATATTATACCGCATATATTGATGTTTTTTTTAACGCATATTTTAATATCTTTTAGCGCATAAAGTTCCGAGCCTTGCTAATAACCATACAACTCAAATATTTGACAACTATTAATGAATTAACATTTTTTAATTAACAATTTTAAATATTTTTATCTAATCGAGAATAATATTTTATTAAGTAATAAATATTTATACATAACAATTTTGGCTTTTGTAAAAATAATTTCTTCTTGTAATATATTTTGTCGATGTAAATATTTAGTTGTGATGCGTGTTATTTATTGACTAAATAAAAATTAATATAAAATAACGATAAGTAATAGCATAAATAAAAAACATGTGTGAACAGCAAACAAATTATTTAAGAAAATTCTTTTTTCTTGCCTTATTATTAGCAAAATCATTTATTATCTTATTTATATCCAATTCATTTGTACGGTTTTGCTGTATGTTTAAGAGGCTTATATTTGTCAGGCGAACTTGTAGCATGGCGTTACTAAGATAATTTTTAATTTGGAAAATGAGCGTTCAGCATTTGCTACTGTGTAATGTTAAGAAGATAATAATACATGCACTGAAAATATCGTAGTACATACAGGCCATATCATATCTAGGTATATCATATCAGGCCATATCTAATAAATACTGCGGGAGATTTTTTATGCTGTGAATTGTTTTTAGGGAATCTTTTAATACAAATTTAATACATTTGCCTAGTTACATTTGTACTGATGTCATTTTTATAATACATTTGAAAATCATAGGTAGCCATAACAATATCATTTGTGGGAAAAATTCAACGAATATTCAAAACCAAGTAATAGATACTTGTGATAACTAAAGTTAAGTATGTTAAATATTTTACCGTACTCTCAGACGAAACGTCTGATATTTCCTCTATTGAACAATTCTCATTGTGTGTAAGATATATTGAGCCAATCGATATAAACAATTTTTAAAATTTGTACCAGTAGAATTAACTCGATTTTTAAAACATAAGAATCTGCTTACAAGTTTTAAATACTTTTTACCGACCGGACAAAATCCAACAGATGACCAAATTTCAAGTTCTAAAATCTTTTCGAATTTTATGAAAAAGACATGCAACAAAATAGTTTTTCTGTTCGACGCATATTATTATTATTGTTATTAAGGTCTTTAAAATGGAAGACGATAGTATTTCAACATAGTAGAATTCTTTTCTAGTCTTGATAATAGGTTGTCAAAATTAGCCATCGACATACGAAAATAATTATAAAATTTCTCTTCTCGGTCAGGTTTAAGTAAAATTTTTCAAAACGTTTTTCACGTCATGGACCATTCTCCAAAAGAGGATGTACCCAGAATCTTCGATGTACCAAACGTTTCTTATAAACATTTCTATACTAATAAAAAATGAGTGGAACACGTGAATCTATGATAACAATTGTGTGTTGACTGCCGACAGTGCATGAATCAGCGTTACGTCTCGTGGGGCAGGCGCGTCTGTAAACCATAGAGTAATATTATTAGTAGTATTATTACTCTATGCTATGATCACGATTTTAAATATCTTAAATCAAGTCTATAACTGAAAATGTACGGAATATCTTAATTCGCTGTATGCATTGAAATAAACGTTGCATAAACAAATGCATAAACATTTATAAATATTAAAATATTGAATATTGTTAAGCATATTACCATGTATGATTGCGTAGTATATTTGCCAGTATTATGTAATCGGTATGTTATGAATGAAACTTCAATTCGATCTTATTGTGAGGAACTCGATGTTGTTTCAACAGAGTATTGATGGACTGTGAATACCTTTTGCACAAATTACTTCATAACAGAATTTGTTTGTTCGTTACCAATAATATAAATAAATATCTATTAATTTAATAGTAGCTACGAAATTCTGCATTGCACATCTTGCACACCTAATTGTTGCAGCACTGCATGCTTACCATAAATACGTTTAGAAATATTGCAAATTCCTGTACAACATTTTTTATTAATAGGGGTTTGAATTTAAAATTTTACAAAAAAAAAAATCTTCACCGGTTGGTATTGTACCGTGCAGTTTTTCAAATAAAATAACTAATTAATTATTAAAGTTACTACTACAACATACATAATAATTTTGATCACAGTGATTTAATTTAAGGCATTGAATATGTGTTGACTTGTTTTATAAAATATATCTATTACTTCATCATAATTTATTTCTATATAGTAGTTATATACATTTTAACATAATAACATATGAATCTTGGGAAGGCTTCCTTAGCCCTGACGCAAACTGTATAAACACAATCAACATTATTATAGTTATCTACATCAGTTATTAAATATTTATATTTGTTTGCATATTTGCCAAATCTTTATGTTTTATTCAACAATCTAAAGATCCAATGAATAGTAATGCATTTCTATAGGTAGTATTTGTTCCAGAGACCAGAGTGGGACCCTCAAATTTATGTAGGCCCCGGGATCCACGAGAAATCTGTGCAACTACACCATTTCGTACCCTACGTGGGCGCCACTGCGTCACAGTAAATTATTTATTATACATTATAGATACATAATACATTCAAATAAAAATACATTTATGTCGAATAATTAAATAATTAATAACAGAACGAAAAATCGTCACACACCATCAGTTCGGTGTCCGATTAGCGGTCGGTTTTCGTCTGATTTCAACAAAATATTGTTATTGGTTTCACGGAAAGGACCGATATAACGAGAATAGGCACTGAACTGCTTTTCTAGGGCCGGACAAGGAGAACGAAGAAGAAAATTAACTTCCGTGAATAAAATTCAACGTTTTCATCATTAATTTAAATTATACGATATTATTATGATTGTTGTTTCTTTGCGTTATGGGCCTGACACCTGACGGTTGATATAATCAAAGTTTGCTACCAGTGGCTTCGAATTCGTTCATATTGTTTGATGTAAATTAAATTATTATTCGTTAATCAAAAATTGAAAAAAAAGATATTTTAGTCAATTGAAAATTAACTTTTTTTAACCGTATAATAACTAATTAATTACCAATATTTGAAATGGAAAAATTAATTTTGAAAATTCAAAACTATTCATACATTTAGAATATGACTTAAAACAAATTTAATAACAAAGTCTTAAAAAAGCATGTTGGTATAAAGTGACAGAATGTCTGTACGCAGAGGAATGACTCAATAAAGCTATTCGTTGAAATCAATAATCAGTTGTATATTTATAATTTATAGAATATAACTTTTGAATAAAAACGAATTGGCGTGATTTTAAATCTCATTGCATCTGTTACGGACAAAAGCCGAAATCGGGCAAACCTCAGAAATGCCCGGGCAAAATGCGAACTGCCCACAATCCTTGAGCAAAATGTCATATTTCGGCTTTTGACTGGGGAAACCTAGTTATGACCAACCTCATTTGGGCAAAACTGCCAAAACCGTATACTGACTTTTATCGTAATGGCAAAACCGTAGAGTCTTAATTATGTTTGCTAATATTAAATACGATTTTATTACGATTATAGATGACCATGCATATCTTGTTAATTTATCGTTGTTATTATATTTTTTCAATTCGTTACATTAAAGGTACACAAAATACACCTTATCAAAATGGGGTTTAAATGTATTATTATTTTTAATTATTTATTTTAACATTATAAAAGTACCTAATATTATTATGTTTATTTTTATACAAATACTTAATATCATTATATTTTATTATTATTTAAGTGCATTAAATTATATCTAAACAATATTTTATGATTATTATTTTTTTGTATTTAATATTAGTGAATTTATTTAAAACGCTACAGTTTAGCCCAAGTGAGGTTTAAATGTATTAATTAAGTTTATTCAATTATATTTGTACAATAATATTTATTTTATAATTATTTGTATTTAATATTGGCGAACGTATTTAAGACTACGGTTTTACCCTTACGATAAAAGTCAATATACGGTTTTGGCAGTTTTGCCCAAATGAGGTTGGTCATAACTAGGTTTGCCCGGTTAAAAGCCGAAATATGACATTTTGTCCAAGGATTTTGGGCAGTTCGCGTTTTGCCCGGGCATTTCTGAGGTTTGCCCGATTTCGACTTTTGCCCGTAACACATCGATACCAAAATTTAATCGGTTACTGATTAGATCGCATAATCGGTCTTCGCAATTGCAATTGATCGGGTCTGTATAGTTTGGTAACAGATCAAACGCACAGTGTGATCCATCCTCAATACATTATAATTATTAAAAACAAAAAAACATAATAAAACATACTAAATTTTTGTTTTAATATATTGGAGTATTTGCTATACCAAAGTAAAATTAAAAAAAAAGTAAATAATTGTATAGCTACTGTTTAATAATCTTCAACCATAACAAATCATTATTTTAATGTATAAAAAATTTATTAAAAATAACCAATTTTTCAATAAAATAAATATATACATTTATGTAACAATAAATAAAATAAATAAATAGAAAAAATAATCAATTCATCAAAAACACATTATCTTTTACTAAAACTTTTATTATTATTTAACTAAAAAATGTTTACTCTACGTAAAAATTATTTTCATTTGAATTGTTTCATTTTATTTCATTTTATATTCAATGCACTTTTTGTACTTGAAAACTATTTTGTAAATCGAAACTGCTTGTATTTATTAGCAACTCATTATATAATACTCAATGCAATATTTATATTATATTTTATTGAAAATTTAATTAGCGTTAATAAATCATTTACATATTCAATAATAATTTGTTATTTTGGAACTATTACTATACCTACGAAAACATGAAATAGTATGAAATAGTAGTGAAATAGTAAAACATAATTCATTACTATAAAAGGTTTAAATATTTTAGTTTAGTTTATCGTTTGTATACATTTAATTAAACATAATTAGTTTTTTGAGTTATATTATGTTATTTATGTATTACAATTTTAAGGTATTAAGTAAAGTGCTGTTGTATAATGATTATAATTTCATAATTTGTCTTATTTTTTGTTATGTTTGTACGTAAAATGTTCAATTAAATCTAAGTTGACAAAAAATATGTATTATATACGTATGAGTTGTTAATACATTTTGAAGTTGTCTTATGAATATTATATTAATATTTAAAAAGTACCTACTTATTACGAAATATTCGACCATAGTTAACTGTAGTCCAACAGGGGCGTATTTTAGAGTGGGGGCGAAAGGGCGATATCCCCTGAATCCATTTTTAAGAAATCAGTTATTTGTCAGATACACATTTAAATTTTTTTTAATGTGGATTATTATTTTTATAATAAAATCAAATTACGTGTGGGTGTGAATATTGAATTGGACTTTTTGTCGGGTCCATACTCAGTGAAAATCAAAAAGAACACAAGTGTAACTTTCAAAACACAGACAGGTGTTAAAAAAGAAATACACAAAATTCGATTCTAAGTAGATCCGGCATTGATTTAAAAAACAACCACAAATATTAAGAATTCACCAGATTTAAATATTTCGAAGAATTTTAAATTTTGAGCCTGAATTAAAGAAAACGTTTGAGTTACCCCCCCCCCCCCCCTAGAATTAAGTCTAAATACGCCCCTGCAGTCCAAGACGGCGATTGAATTAAAAATATTATCCTAGGTGGTGGTTGACGCTACCCCACGATTATGTTTCAAATCACGATCACGTCTCGTATGAACCTATAATGTCGCATTATTGTAATTACATATCACTGTAATCGTACCACTTGCAAGGCACCGGTCTAAAACCCAGCCAAAGAAAGCGGCCCACTGTGTCCCAAGGCAGTAGATCGCTATGCCGGTCCACCCTTGGATATTGTTTTCAGCGTGTAAACTGACATAAATCATGTTCAAATGTTTAAAAAAAAAAAAAAATGGAAAAATCTGCTGAAACTTAAGCGTGACCGGAATAATGTGATTTGATAAGCTCCACTTGATTTGATCGCTTTATCAGATAAAATACTTTGGCCATCATTGTTATTGATCAATTAATCTGTTTAAGATTTAAAATCTCACAGATAAACATAAAATATGTCTGAAAATCGTTAATAACGAGCACTAAAATGATCGTAAAACGTTCACCGACACAGAATGATATGGTAAATAAATTTCACCTTAAAATCCTTAACACCCAGAAACACGTATTTTTATCACCCTTTTGCTACATCAAATGAATGGATACCAAAATCCTACAAGTCCCGGACGCTGATGATCCATCGTATATATCGGTATCTAGTCTAATTAATTATCATCAACTGTAATACGGTATGGGATCATAATTGTAACTCGGGTTTTAGGATGACGACGCACAACGGATCTCGGGAGCCCTTGCAGCCCGTTGATCGTGGTGGCGGTGAGCCGTGAATGCAATCAAGTCGTGATCAATTTGAGAAGAAACATCAAGTATAATAGTTATTTTAATAATAATAATAATAATAATAATAATAATAATAATAATAATAATA